ACACTTCTCTCCCCTAGTGGGATCTCTTTCCAAATGTCACTGGCTCTCTATTTTCAGGTAAACTTAATAAAATTGACCATAAAATCTGTATTTCTCTACAGAATCACACCAAGAGGTGAAGGCAGCAGATCTGACACAGGCAGTGGACAGCAGAGTCAAGCTGGACTGCCTGCAGAACAGCAAACGATCCAGGAAGACCAAAAAAGAGACTTGCCAATGGTATTTTTGTCTTTCACTAATCATCTGAATTGATTAATAATAAAACATCTGTTGAACCCTGTGCCCAAATTAATTAAATTTGATAGAAAAATGTAGCATTAACAGAAGACAGAAAAAATTGTTGTGTGGCCATTCATCAGACAATAAAAAGCTTTTACTACAATGGATAATCTGCAGCACAGACTGAAACAGTTTGCAAACTATATACTATCTTACCCAATTCCTGTTCTTGGCTTTTATGTTCTCTTCTTTGTAGCACGGCTGGCAATACAGAATTTTGTTTTACAGCAGGGTTTTCCTAAATAACTATATTTTATTTCATCAGAAGTGCCCCTCTACCTCTTGAGCTTTTATCTGAAGCTTAAAAACTAAAGTCCAAATTCTATACATAAAAAAGGAGATGCATTGAGTCACTCTATAAATATGTCCTATGATTAAATAAAAAAAAAAGACACTTGAATTATTTGTCTTGCTATTAGAAGCAGGAATGTAAGGTGCAGAGAGAAAAATTCAATCAGCTTGCTATTTTATCTACAGTGAGTTATACAAGCATTAACTCAAACTGCTTTCTTACTCAAAAAAACCTGTAGAAAACAGCATTAAATAAGTAAAGAATTACTTCTCACACTTACTCTGTTTGGAAATGAAAATAACTGACTAAGGTAGCAGTCAAACTATACTGCTTGTGACTGTCTCTGCTCAGATCAGTTTTGCCTGAAAGGGATTTCTTTAATTATTATTACTATGGCACAGATATTCAAGAAGACTCAGCTGGGAAAGCCTCCACCTTCACTTCTTGATACTCATTCATACCGTAATACAAGGAAACAAGCATCAAGAAAAATAATGGAATCGAAAATTCTTTTCCAGCCCAGACAAGTCTTTGAGTGAATACATGACCCAGATCTTTAAAGATTCTCAACTCATATTAAACTGCTTGGTAAAGAGCAAACAGGTGTGCCTCTCCTCATACAGAAACAGGGAGTATCACATGACATTCTCAGGTAACAGGTTCAAAACAGAACAATGACTTATTGACACCACACATGAAGTGCAGCTCTTATAGACAGAAAACATGGTAGCTGCAAAAACCATACATGGGCTCAAAAGCTTTTATAAGTTAAGTATATCCATGAAACAAAAATCCATATAACACATCATCCCCACTGAGACTGGGAGAGCTGACATAAGGAGTAAGCCTATATTCTAGAAGAGTGTAAGAATAAAGCACCTGCTGTCAAATGAGCACTTGCTGAGCTGTGGCACACCAGCAGAACTCAGAACAATGATCTTGTCACATTCCGGGGTCTCAGAGATTTAGGCTTCAGGAGAGAGTAACAGTTCAGACCAGTGTGGCTCTTCCTCTGAAGAATGGTCTGTATGTTGCCCAAAAAAAAAAAAACACCCAACCAAAAAACAACCCACCAGCAAACAAACACCATGATCAGAAAGCAACTAAGACTCCTGCTCCAGCCCATCACTTCTCTAAAATAGAGGTGAAACAGTGACTGTGATACTGTCCATAAAATATTTAGGTCTCTAATGATGCCTGAGACGATAATTTCCTTCCCCACCATTCAATGAATGTTTTTTTTTTTTTTAAGCGTTCAAAGAAACCAAGGTGAACTAAAGAAAGATCTTTTCCATCCTTATTGTAATTAAAGCAGCCTTAACCATTTTATTCAAATGTCAAGAGGCTTCCAATGACCTGACTACTAATCCAACACCACAGGAAGTAACATGCAATTTCAAGGAGAAAAAGGATGCAATATTTAACCAGTTCAAATATGTATTCTGATATTAAAGGGGAAAAAAAAAAAAGAAAAAGTACAACCCCACAACCCTTTCGTTTCATCTCAAAACTGAAAACACTTCAAATCACTGTCAGTCACACAGCTCTCTACTCCAGAAAACAATTATGAAGAGCATAGCATTAACATGTCCAGTGCTGGAGAGAATATTGGATGCACAGGCAGAGAAGACTGGTTCCTATAATGAACCTCACAATCTGTTAATCCAGAATGCACAGCAACACAAACTGCTGGAAACATGGACATTTGAAAGCTATCCAAGAAACCCTGCAGCCTTCCTCTAGCTTAACAACACAAGCAGGAATCCCAGTAAATCATAACTAGCATGGCTGCCTGCATACATGCTAACATAACTTTATCCTAGAACACCAAATCTTTATAGTAATTAACACCACAACTAATTAATAATACTAAAAAAATACCACAAAAAAATCCCACCAACTGCATAAATCACAAAATGTACTGATTATTTGTACATGGAGTTTCAATGACCTCTCCTTCCTAGAGGACATTCAGTTGTCTGCTGGGGCTCTTTTACACAATATAAAGATTTCTTCTATATTATTTCCTTCTGCATATTATTGATTTCTCCAGACTGACACTGTAATTATGGTGAAGCTTTCCTCTCAAAACACACTGTAGCAACACTTCTAGGCCCCTTGAAATTATGCAGACTTACTTACTTGAAGATACAGCATCAAAGAGCTTACTATATTCCCAAAATATCACATCCCTCATATTTGCAGCCTTATTTTTAAAAGAGTATAAACCATACTGAAAGAAAAGGAAACACAGGAAGCAAAACATAGTAGAGCAGATCAACTGACTGCACAGTTTTACTTACCTTGAGTTTTTATGTACCTGGGGGCGAGGGGGAAGGCAAAACCAGCTACTGAAAACCTTGTTAAACCTTGAAAGCAATGGTGGACCTGAAGACAAATCCTGCCAAGTGCACTCCTCTGCCACAATTCTGTTCATGCACAACAGATCACACAAAGCCAATGCTCTGTGATCAGAACTGAATGTCCCTGGGAACAAACTCAGCAATACCAGCATAGTTTTCTGTATAACACTCAAGACAGGCTTCCAAGCACCAAGAAAACAAAACAAAATAAACAAAAAACCCCAAACAAATAATAAGGAAAAAATAACTACCAAATAAATAAAACTGGGACTTTTTATCTTTCTCTCAAATAATAAAACCAAGGTATCTTGTATGTGACAAGTCTATGGGTCACTGAAAAAAAATTCTGAAAAAAATATTCCTCAGCACCACTGGACTTTGAGCACATACACATTAACTTTCAGCCACAGTAAAAAACAAGAAATATTTTGCAAGTGTGTGACAGAACTGCATTCTCTCTAAGAGATTTGAGCACCTAACAAATAAATGCCCCTCCGACAATTCCAGCCCCCCATACATTAAAGGAAAACAAATGTGTGTCCTCTCACTCTGAGAGAAGCCTGCTCTGAATCTTCCAGACTTCATCTCACGGTGAAAAACACACAATGCTGAAACCAGACTGAGGCAGTCTGGATTAAACAGATGGCACTCTATTTAGAACAGTTTCACTGTTAATAACATGATAATGGCATTCCTCCTGGAAATCTTCTCATGTGCTTCCAATATCCCTATTTAAAAATCCTGAAACCCAGAAGTAGACTTCCATCAAAATATATTGGAAAAAGGCACTACAGTCTACACCAAAATTCCACCAACATCATGCTGTTATGTTTATTCTCATGTTAATAAGACTATCAAAAATTAATAGAACAGTTTCTATTTTGCTAAAAAGAAACAATATTGTATTATATACAACTAAGAAGTAATTTAAGTCTTTATAATTCACTGACTGTGTAGTTGACTTTTACCAGTCTCTTTCCAGATGAAGCAGGCTGTACTCAAGTTTGACGAACACAAAAATAATTATAATTAACCAGATACTAAGGCAATTGACACTTCTCAGTCACAAAGCCACATATACAAAACGCCGAGCTCCTGACACAAGTACTCAGTGAAACCAAGTCACCACCTCACTCAGGAGGCAGTTATCAAGAGAATTCTTCCTTTTTACTTACCGTTCAGTGCACTACCAGGATTTCGGGACGCCTCCCCGCTTCTCCTATGGAAACAAACACGAACGTTCTTTTAAGACGTACCCACTGAAAACCGAAACGCGGCTCCTGGCGCCAGCCGGGCTCGCTGGCAGCTCCGATTTCTCCCCCAGCCTCTTCCCCAGCGAAGCGCGCCCCGAGGGCTGGCAGCGAGCGGGCACTGCCCGGACCCCGCCGCCGCTCCCCGCGGGCAGGGCGGCGGGCCGGGGCTTACATAACCCGGGGAGGGGGCCGCTGTGCGGGCGGAGGGGAGAGGAGAGGGAGCAGAGCGGCCGCGGCAGCCGAGCGAGTGCGATCAGCGCTGCCGGCGCCAGCGCTGGGAACGGTTCGCGCCCCCGCACGCACAGACCCCGCGGGGCTTCCGTCTCTCCCGCAGCGCCTGCAGTGACGAACGGCGAGAGGCAGCCCGCGGAAGGCGGGAGAGCCCCGGCCCCGTTCCCAGCCCGGCCCCGCCGCCCCTCACCCGCTCTTCTCCTCCTCCGCCGCCTCCAACGCCGCCAGCCCCGCACCTCAGCAACGCGCCCGCCCATTGGGCCACGCCCCCGCAAGAAGCCGCGCATTGATTGGCCGCTTTCCGCTGTGCTTCTCCTTCCCCCCGGCTCTTCAGCCCGGGCCGGCGGCGCCGCTCCCGGCGCGGTGCCCGCCCTGCTGAGCCGTGGCGGGAGCGCCGCGGGCGGCAGCGGCCCGGGAACGGGGTCGGGCAGCGCTTCACGGTCCCCGTGTCCACACCGGGCCGGGGGGAAGTGCCGGAACGGAAGCTTCCCGGAACCCGCGTGGCTGGCCCGCGCTTCCTGCAGCGGCTGGTGCTGGGCTGGGTTCCGGTTCCGGGTGCGGCCGCGTCCTGAGCAGGGTCGCGGAGCGGGCAGGTACCGCGGGCGGTTACCGCGGGCACCGGGCGCTGCTGCCGCCGGGTGTCCGTGTGCGGGCAGGCGGGGGGAGTGCGGGTGGCTGTCACTGCGGGTTGTGCTCTCCGTGCCCCGCTCCGTCCGACCTCTGCGCACCGCTTGTGCTGGTGCTGCTGGCACAGAGCGCCCGGCTGGTGCTGCAGCACAGCCCGCTGGCCGCGGCGTCTGCGCGACAGGGCACGGCCTTCTCTCTTAGGAAGGTGAATGTGGGTAGGAGAGAGGCCTTCCCTTTGTATCACAGGGTTGCAGCCTGGCGTCTCATTCAGGGGGAGCTTTTCGGCTTATGACAACGTTAATGCTGCTCTCCAAGTTTTATCGGGCAACGAAATCTGTCTGCTTGCCTTCATGGCCTGGAGTAATTTTCAAGAATAACAGGCTTTGAAGTTGTGTCCTGCATTCCAGTCAATTTTCTAAAAGTTAAGGATAGTGAATCTGTTCTTTGCTGCCTGATATGTCTTAAAATGGGAAACCTTGGCTCAAAGAAGACTCAGGTCCTTTGTGAAAGTGGAACCTTAAAAGCTATAATTTTCTTCCAGTCTTCATGATCTCGCTGAAAATGTTCCCCTTCACATCTGTTTTTAAAGAGAGACTTAATATTTTAGTAGTTCTCGAAGATGTCTGTAATCAGAGCATACATTTCTCAGCCTCATCAGGCAACGAGTAAGGTGCATCTCCTTGTCCATGTGTCTCTCCTGGCCCTGTTGAATTCCAGTTATATCTGAACTGGAGGCAGCTGAAAAGGAACTGAGGAGCCAAGTCTTGGTTTTTCTTCAGAGCTTGGCAATCATAGGTTTCCCATACCTAAGTCAGATATTTTTACTCTGAACTCTTTTTGATTATTCTGGAAGTAGTGAGAGGCTGGTGTTGCTGCAGTGCATTTATAGACATGGAAGCCATTGGTTTTCTTACACTGTTCTCTGGCATAGAGAGTCGACATAGGTGTTCCATGAATGTAGTGATGGTCGTTACTTAAGTTTGCTTTACTGTGTGTAATCACCAAGCTCTGAAACACAGCACAAAGTCCCTTGGCTCTTTGCTTTACAGAACAAAGCTCTTTGTTCTCTGTTTCTTCTTGTTGCCTCCCTGGTTGTCCTGTCCAGGGGATTGTTCTTTGCAAGTGTATAAAAATAAGATGATGCTCTCTGCAAAGTAACAAACTGACCTTTTCCTCTAGGTATGGGGCACGGAAGTGGCCACGGCCATGACAAAGTGGAGCTCCCTGACTACAGGCAGTGGAAGGTGGAGGGAACTCCCATGGAGGAGGTGCAGAAGAGGCTGGCAAGGCGGGGTCTGAGGGATCCGTGGGCTCGGTAAGTGCAAAAGCCTCAAAAATCATCTTGATGTGTCATCTGGTGGCCCCTCTTGTTTTAAACCCCTGTATTTTCTCTCAAAATGACAGTTTTTATTTTATTACTAGTTATTTTTCCTTTTCTTAAAGACTTTTGAGTCCTTAAAAGAGGCAAACTACATCCATGTCCATAGATTACACTGGTTGTGCTATAAATAAATAAATAAATATTTGTAGTCAGAGTAGTGACTAATGATTTAATAACAATGGAGATTGAAAACAGCAAGGCAAAACAGTGTGAAGTTTGTACATGCTCTGTAGCTCAAGCTAAACACCATCTTTTCAGTCTTTCCTTTTAAAATCATGTGACTGTCATACAGTTGTGTTGTATTGTGAAACAGAAAGTGCCTCCATGCTGAGATGAGCTATCTGTGTCTGGATTGTAAGATGTGACTGTCTAGCACTGTGACTAACCTTTGTAGTTAGTCCAATCCATGCAAGTGCTAGTGGGCTCTGATTTGTTACAGAGTGAACACGGAAGAGTACAATTACATGATTTCAGGGAGGTGATTCTGTTCCTATAATTGTGTTGTTTGCTGGCAGTACTTGTATCTCAAGTTATATGGTAAGGGTTAGAGTTCCTATCATGAACTTTAATTCCTGATACTTAAATGACAGAACATACTGTACAGCCTTAATGTTTTGCTAATTGAAATACCTTCATCATTCTTTTATATATATATATATGCTTGTTCATTTGTACTACAATTGTTCCACTGATCTTTTTTCCTTTGGTTTCATTTTCTTTTTTAGTAATGAAGTCTGGAGGTACCAGGGTAGCTTTGCAAGACCTATCACCGTAATAGAAATCTTTACCAGGGGACTCAAGTGGGGCGCTGCAGCTTTTGTCATAGCTCTGGGCATTGAATATTCACTGTTTCCTCCAAAGAAGAATGGAGGCCACCACTGAAGATCAAATATGACAACTTAATACTTCCTAATCATAAGCTGAAGCATATAGAAGCCTGCTGCTCACTCTGTACTTATAATATGCATATTAAAGTCTATCACAGGCAAACCCATGTTTCTTTGATCTTATTATACTTCTGTGAAAGGTTCAAAAAATATGGCCAGAGCAATTTAACTGGCTTTGATATGGGGGGAAAAACCAACCCAAGATGGCTCTTGGGTTTGCTGTGCTACCTTTTAAAGAGCAAGATAAACTATCAGACCAGTTCTTTCCAAGGCCTGCCAAGATTCTGTTAAATGAAACGGAGAAGTTTGTTGGTTTTAAGAGAAAATTTGTACCATATTTATTACAGGTTTAATAACTATTATTTCCCAGTAAGTAGTAATGAATGTCTTGTAATTTCTTAGAAGTGTTGGTTACTATTTGCTCTTATGTCTCTAAATAAAAATAAATATTAACTTAAAGCTTTAAAATCAACTCCAGACTGCCACAAAGTATATAAGAGTACCAAAGCTTATACTTAACCCTATTGAACAGTTAATTAGTGCAGCAGACACTACGCACCAGAATAATCTGCTGTGTGATCCAGACATCAAAACTTACATTGCTGCCAAAAGTAGAATAAAATGTTTAACTCAGCAATAACTGTATCTTACCCTAAAATGTCTTCCACCATACTTGACTGTAATGTTAAAAAAGAACAACTTTTCCCTTTGCTCTGCCGTATTTATAGATTTATTTATTTTTACATGTAGTCTCTTTGAGCAATCTGTTTTAAATGTCCTACTTTTCTGAACTGCTTTAAGAATGCCTGGATTGAAGACTATAGCAGAAAAGGATCGCTGGACAGTATATATCCTCTGAAGTAACAGGAATTATAGTTGTCTGAATATTCTACTGTAAATTTTGTTGTTATGCCATTAGTAACAAAGTAAGGGGGCTATGTTACATAGCACAAACAACAGGACAGCCATCACTAAAATGAAAAGCAAAATTAGACAAGTGAGAAATGGTAAATGCCACTAAACAATGACATAGTATACTTTCATGGTGCAGAAATTGAAGTTTTTAAACAATCCTGTCACAAATTGTAGGTTTACAAAAAAGTTGAAGGTTCTACCAAAACATGGCTAAAATATCTTTTTTTTAAACATACATATTCACACGCAATCCTTCTGAGTGAGATTATAATAGAGCTTTATTTTTAGAGCCAATAAACAACATCTGTTACTGTGTGAGTGAAGATGTACTGTTCAGTGGAGTTTGTCATCTTTGTATGACATTGCTCAAGGCACTGTTCATAGTGCAAACACTCATTTTAGTAAACTTTTGCCTAATCTTTTTTTCTCAAACATTCCTATCTAGTTGCATCATTCCCTAAAAAATCAAAAAAACCTGCTGTGTAAGGTCTGTGGCACAAAACATTTCTATTGTCCCTTAGGTACTCTTACCTATGTATTGGTACTCACTGCTTGTTTTCTATCTGGTTCCAAGACAACTTTTCTAGGGAGTACTGAATTTCAGATGGCTGTTCATGAAAACAAGTAACACAGTTAATTACTACAATGTTAATAATTGTTACTATGTTACTGATGTTAATAATTACATGAAGTAGAATGAGTCTTTTTAAATGGTTACAAGCCTGCCACTTCACTGATACAGCAAATATATCAAGCATATTCAGTTAGACAAGACTAGTTTTGGTAAAATTTATATGTTTGTGAATTAAGGTAGTATCATTTGGTGGTTTAATAGCCACATGGCAGCCACTGCCCTAAATTACTGTCTTGAATTTGTGATGAACATATTTTGCTAATTTTGCAGAATATGTCTCGTCATTATTACACATGCAATATTCATAAAGATTTTCTTTCACAGGTATAATAATACCAATCCTGCCTGGGGAGGGAATATTTCTGGTGTATTAAAATAATAGTACCAAATGTGTCTTCACTGTAACCATAGCAATGTCCTTATATGAGAACAGCCTTTCTACCAGCATAGATATTTTACAGTGCAAAAACCAGGGTCACAAACAGCAGTGGCACCAGCAGGTGAGAAACAGACATGATTGTAATACCAGACAGGAAGCTCTTTTTGTATCAAAAAGTCTGAAAAATAAAACTGATGATGCTCCACTGTCTGTATGGAACAAATCCAAGGAAAAATTGTGCATATTGATTCACAGTAGGTAGCTGGTTTCCTTCTGAATCAGCTACATCTTACTAGCAGGGATACTGTGATAGCCTTGAATGATTGCTATTACAATGAGAGCCTGACCATACAATTTCAGTAAGAATACAAGTATTTTTTCAGAACACAGAGCTGCCACTTGGTACAAATACTAGTGTGGGCGAATATTTTCTGTCTCCTTTTTCCTTGCAGTTCCAAAGACAGCGTGACTCTTCGTGTGTGCTGTCCCAGAGTACTGCGCTTCCACTGTTCTATTTTTAGCAGCACAAAAAAATGACTCACTGTTCCATAAATGCTTTGAAATCCATTGAGCTTGGAATTACATGTGTCTGATTTCACTATATATGGAGGTGGCTTTTGTCCAGTTCAGAAAAATTTTAGGTTTTAGGCCTTTTGGAGAACAGCTCCAGTTGCAATGCTAGCATCCTGCAGTCAATAGCTTCATGAAAGTTGCTTGTTTATGTCAAGGGAATAGCAACACCCAATCTTCAGGAAGAAGGTGTTATGCAATATTTACTTAAGATTATACAACAGGAAGCGTACAACTTTCACACAGCTGTACATAACTGACTGTGAACGAACAAATTCAGAGTGAGACATGAGCCATCCAAACGGTTACGGCTAAACTCTCTCCAAAACAAGTTCCCACGCTGACCGCAGATGTGTAACCCCTCACCGAAAACGCTGCTACTACTTCATAGCTCGCAGGGCCATCGCAGAGCTGTCCTGTCTGTCCCCAGGCCAGCAGCAGGACCAAACGCAGCCTGCAAACGCCCGTGCACACGCTGAGCTCCGGACGGGCCGCCACGGCCCCCTCACAGCGCGGCCCCTCACAGCGCGGCCCCCTCACAGCGCGGCCCCCTCACAGCGCGGCCTCGCCGCAGTGTCCGTGCCAGGGGGAGGTGCCGGGAGGCACCACGGGCCTGTCCCGCCTCCATCCGCTCTGGGTCGCTTTTGTGTGTTCAGCTCTGAGTTACTCTCCAGGGGTGCAGCCGGAAACAAAACTGAAACCACCATCCTGCCTCCCCCCCAGCCCCCCCGGCCCGGCGCGGCGCTATGCAGCCAGCGGGCCGGTACCGCCCCAGCTCCTCCCTGCTCCAAATGCCGGACCTGGTTGCTGTAGAGACCTCCCCGAGGCGTCTGGGTGCGTTATACCTTCCCCGCTCCTTTCCCCCTCCTTTCCCTCACCCTTCCCTTCCCTGCCCTTCGCACCCTGCGCTTGCAGCACAGGCGGCACAGCGCTGGAGCGTCCGGTGCAAGCGGGGCCGGGGCTCGTGGTGAGAACCGAAACCGAGCGTGATTTAAAATGACGCACTTAGAAAAATGACTGGAAATCTGCATAAACCACGCTTAGTAGATGGGGATTTTTTGTTTGGTTTGGGGGATTTTTTTTTTCTTTTTGTTTTAATTAGGAGGAGTGGGATGTTAAAACAAATTAGTGTGTCATACTAGTTTGCATCGGGAGAAAATTCTTCAAGAGTAGGAGGGAATGTGCCGCAGAACTTCCCTATGTTTCCTGAGTACGTTGCACAAGTTCTGCTGAAGGGCGTGGGGCAGTGAGGAAATAGGGAAATTGAAAAGCTGTGGAGCATGCTCGGCAACTTTGAAAAATGCCAGATGGCCCTGGCTCCAAGCGCAGTCGTTCACGGCCGCCGCCTCTGCGGACAGGGCAGAGCGGAGGAAGGCCGAAGCACAGCCTGAGCCCCTGCAGCCAGGTCATCTTCGTCTTGTGGAAGAAAGATAATCTCCTGAATCAGAACTGCACCCACTGGCGTCATATCCTGCCTTTGTTGCTGCAAAGTTGACTCTGAAGGGTTCAAGATACAAAATGCCAGCAAAGAGTTAACTGGAGCTTTGTGCATGTTTGTGTGAAATTTTAGTATGTTATTTCCTGCTCCTTTGCAACCGTGTTGGAAAAAAAAAAAAAAAGCCTAATTAGAATGTCACATGAACACGACAATTATTGAAGCAGCTTTATCTCTAATGACTATGAACTTTTTTTGTCTTAGAAGATAAGCTGATTTTTCTCTCCTGTTTGTAAAGAATTTACATGCAGTAAGTCATCTTGTTGCAGAGTCCAGATAATCAAAAGCTAGGCTGCTGGGTTTAGGTTGTGATTGCTTTATTTCTTTAACTTTTTCAGCTATAATGGCTATCTGTGATGTTTGAAAAAGTGGTCATCAGATGGAAGAGTGGAGCATTATGCCCTTTATCTCATGGTGGAGTGGATCTGCAAAGTTATAAATTGTTTTAGTTTATACTAAAAAATCACTTCCATTGGTCTTACTCATTTCCCACACAGTACCCAATGAATGTTATGTGCGCGGCTGGTTTTCCTTTTATTTAGAGCACCACTCCTAGTTCACTGCAGTCATACAGAAGAATAACTCTTGGTCATTTTCTTTGGTTTTCCCACCCCCAGAAAAGGAAGTAGCCCTCCACAGTAATTTGTGATCTTGATATTTGTCCAGCAGTGAGTTAATGTAATCACTGGAAAATCCTGGATGGAAACCAATGTGTGCTGGATCAGTGGTTTGGCAATGATCAAATGCCAGTTTTCCAGTGTTCTTGTGAACAATTCTACATACAGGTAAGATAGTTTCAACACTGAGAGTATAATCAGCATTTTTTTATAATGAGCATGTGATGTATCATATATAAAGGAAATTCACAAAAGAAGATGATTCATATGTGTGTTTTAAAGGCAAATTAATTTTAAGTTAACATATAAATAGTAATTTTGCATGTCTGAAATTCCAACTCAGTAGGAAATTTCTTCCTAACACACACCCCCACCTCTGTTCTTTTAATTAGTTTTAAAAGATTAGATAAACATCAACTGGAGTAGTTAAAGTTTTTCGGGTATTTCCAAAAATGACCAAAAGTTGTTAAATTCCTGTTTCACTTTAAACTATTACTTCAAGATCTTTTAAAAGTCCCAGCTGAATGTACCTGGGAGATATTTCCATATGAAGGTGCTTTGTGCTTCCCCCTTCTTGACTGCATTATGTCATAAAAACAGTGTCATTCTATAGGATTCTCATAAGTGTTTGATGCTAGATTGAAAATAAGTTAGCAATAAATATGCTTTTCTTCTGATAGAAAACATTCCAAAACACATTACAGTGCATGAGGGGTTCCTCTGTTTTAGATAAATTAATCTCACCTGCTTGATCGTAACTTCCAGAATGCATAACAAAAGGATGAAAATGCTGTAAAAAAACCTTATTCAGGTGCTAGAATATTTTGGTATATTAAGCTTTGAAGTTGAATTGGCATTTGCTTTCCAGTATGGTTTAAATAAAACTCTGCAGTGTAGTGGTCTGTGGAAGGACTAAGGTTTGTCTTTAGGTTTGCTCATCTGCCATTTCTCTCTATATATAATGGAGGTCAGAGGGGGTTAGATGGAATTTCCATAGCTGGTGGCAGTGGAAATTGAGTACAGCACCCTTCTGATTTTGTTAATCACAAGGCTGGGGGTTTTTCTAGGTTTGAATTTTTGTTCCAGTTTTCAGTATAATGGTACATGAATGTTTAGTGAAGAAAAATGTGATCTGTGGCTTATCTGTACTTTCAGAATTAACCAATTTGCATATTTAAGGTTGGAGTATTTTCTTTGAGTGGCTTTTCAATCTTTTTGAGCATGGAGGGTGTGTGTGGAAAATCCTTTTAACCCCAGATTGGAATAAATTTAAGTTATGTTAATAATAAGCAAATCCACACACTCTTGAATTTACAGATATTAGCAGTTCTAAAATTACATGCTATATTGTTGCTCGGAAAAGAGCAGAGCTTTTGGAAATACTTCATCTATCACTCATCAGCAAGCTGATGACTTTTGTTTCACTTCCTATGGAATATACAGACTCAAGGTAGTTTACTCCAAAAAGAACTTACATGTCTTTCTGATTAGTATGACCTTCCAAATAGTTTTAGTTTTGTAATGAACAACTGGGAGAATCCCTTGAATAAAGGAAGTCTGTGTAGTGTATGTTGGAGTGTTAGCTGAAAGTGAAATACTTCAGATAGGAGAGTTATGTGAACTTGTGCAGCAGATCGCTGATTTATTGTATTTTAATTCTCTCCCACAGAACTGCCCTTGTGGAAATGCACCTAGTTAAGAATGAACACAAGAGAAGTGCTGTGGTAGACACAGGCTTCATGTCATGTTGGTTTCCAGTTTAAAAACAAGTAGGCTGGCAATTTTAAAGGAACAGCAACAAAGTGATGACCAGGTGCCAAGTGCCAGCTTTCCTTATTCATCAGATTCAAGAAGAATTGGATAAAGATGAAGAAGAGATGATGGTTTTCCTATGCCGAGACCTTGCTCCTGACTTGGCCACTGCTGATCTTAAAGAGATCTTGGTGGCTTTGAATGAGAGAGAGAAACTGACTCCTGTTGGCTTGTCTGAGCTGTTGTACAGAGTTAAGAGGTTTGACTTGCTGAGGAGGATCCTGAACACTGAGAAAGCAACAGTGGAAGCTCACCTTGCCAGGAGTCTCAGACTTATCCCTGATTACAGGTAATATATCTATTTCAGATTTTAAAGCTGTGCTATCTTGTTCAAAGTAAGTGGTTTGTTTTTTTCCTTTGTTTTGGGGAGGGGGGGCAGTATGGGTGAGTGGTGGGGGGTTTTTGGTTTTGTTTTTTTGGGGGGGGGGTTTGTTTGTGGGGTTTTTTTTTGTTTTTTTTTTATTTTGTTTTTTTAATACTTCACAGATTCAGAGAATATTTATTGAAGTAGAAGAAAAGCAGAAAAGGACATTATATCTAGAGTTATAGTTAAAAGAAAATGTCAAGTTTAGTCGCTGAATTAAACTATAATAGTTTCTTACTAGTCATGGCATTAGAAGCATCTGTATTTAAGGAGTTTGTGTGTTTGTGAATAAAACCAGTGATGTTTGTAGAGTTCTAGGTTAGCAGCTAAATGACACTTTAAAGGAATATCATTGGTTAGACATATTTTCTTTTCTGGCTTGCTTTGGGCACATGGCCATGTGGTATAACTTTTCTCAAGGGACTCTCTCTTACTTGTTTTACTCTACTACTTTTGAGAGGCTTAAATTAAGAAATTCCAGTCATTTTCTTTGAGAGACTTCAGAAGGAAATCCATGCACTCATAAGGAAGATTTTCTTGTATTGAATTCTCACTGAAATAAAAACCCTGTAACAGGTTAAAAAGTTAAGGATATGTTCTGTTGTCTCATTCTCTCACTTAATCTCTGTTAAACATTAAGGAAACTTCTGTTTTCCTAACAGTGGCTATTACACTGTCAGTCTGAAAAACACAGGTGCTGATTAGCAAGAGTATTTCATAACTGGATCTTGAAACAGGGTATGTCTTTTACCTGTTTCTTAGTTAGAGATTGTAGATGAAGACTGGAACATGGGGAGAAGTTGGGAAAGGGAGGAATCTTGCTGCAAGCTAATAATTTAGAAATATCTCAACTTTATTTCAGGGTACTAATGGTAGAGATAAATGAAAATCTGGAAAAAGATGAAGTGGGTTCTCTTGGTTTTCTACTCAGAGATTATGCACCTCGTATGAAAATGGCAAAAGATAAGGTATGTTTTCCTGTTGGCATTCTCCTCTGCAGCAGAGAGACATTAATGTAAAATAAATATGTAGCTAGACAGCAAAGGAAAGGAGTCAGTACTGCAAGAAGTATTGAGGCAGGAGTACACACACATCAGGAAGCAGGCAAGGAGTTGTGGTTTCTGTTTCATTTTGTTGATTTTTAGTTCAAGAAAAGAAGCATGAAAAACTAGTAAAAAAGTAAGAGGGAACAGTGCTTGTTGTAGTGTATTGTGGTTGAATGAACTTCATGGGCATTTTATGGAAATCTTTCTTCAGTATTTCTGACCTGACAGTTCATGTAAGAGTAATCTCACAATAACCATTTGAACTGTATCTTAAGTTACAAGGTCACTTTTTGTTTGTGCTCTGCTTCACTTACAAAGGACACATTGTAATTCACTTACAAAAGAACACAAAAGAACATATTGTAATTATGTCTTTATACCTTTGCATTCTGAATATTTTTGTTAAGTCCTCTGAGAAGGCAGAAATTCAGTAGAGAGGATTCAGAAACCATGACCACTGTGTAGAGAAGACTGAAGATTTCTGTCTTCTTCCTTTGAAGTTTTTTTTTTTTCCTTTTCTGTCTTCAGTCAGAGAAGGAGAGAGGCCCTGAAAATTTCCCAAAGCTTTTCTTGCCTCTTGCTTTGTGGCATGTGAGGTGACATTTGCAGTAGCTGTTTTGCATTTTGTTTTGCTTTGTAGCAAAAATAAAATGCAAAACTGTTTCCTCAAAAATTTAAGATAGATTTTTAAGAACATCAGTTTGTAGTTTCTATCACTGCTGTGACAATATTAAGGATTCATATGTTTCTCAGATAATTTTCTTAGAAGGTGTAACATCTCTAATTGTTTACACAGTCTTTATGACCTCTCCATGGTATTTTCTGTGTTGCTTTGTTACATCTGGTGGAGAAAAAATTACTGATGTGTTTGGGTTTATGTTGCTATTCTAGAGTTTTCTAGCTCTTATAATTGACCTGGAGAAGCTAAATTTGGTGGCTCCTAATCAACTGGATTTGATAGAAAACTGTTTTCAAAGTATTCACAGGATAGACTTGATTAGGAAGATTCAGAAGTACAAACATGAAGGTGAGATGCTCTTTTTGTACTGGTTACTCTTGATAGCAACAATCAGATGTGCTGAAAATAAAACTGTGACATACAAATAAGGGCATTTGCATTCTTTGTAGATCTAGGTTTTCAAAACAGTTGAAATATCATGGTGTGTTTGTGTTTCTGTTAAATTTGCAGCTTCAGTGTCCTCTGTTCATTCTCAGCCAGTTTATGTAAATGCACATCAGGCCTCTCTCCCTAATTTAAATCTGATTGATCCTCCTTATCATTCAGGGGTAAGTATTCAAGAAGTGAAACAAATCCTTTATTTCTAAATATTGCAAGACTTTAAAAGAGATCCATCTTTCAGCGCCTGAGGAATTAGAGATGGCTAGTGACTAAAGTAGTACTTGGTTTATTTGTTTTTCCTGTTATTTGCTGAGTTTAGGGACTGATGTAAATCTGCGTGAGAAAGATGCCCTTTAAAGAACTTCTGTGAATTTTTTTCTATTAAAAACATATAAAATCTGTATCTTGACGGTTTTTTGTACTACATTGTGGAGTGAAACGTTTTGCTTTGACTCTTCTTTGCAAAACATATTCTTCTTCTTTGTACCTCTAGATCTTTCAGGGAAAGTAGCTTTTCATTTTTGAAGCTGAAAATGATAGCTTTTTTAAGAAGTTAGCTCTAATATTGTATTAGCATGACATTTCTTAAAGTCTTTAACCATGCTAAATTTGATGATATTAGTTGTCATGTGTTCAGTAAACATGCCGCTCCCCGCTGCTATATAGGAAACAAAGTTTACATCTTCAGAGGCTTTTCCTTGCAGTTGACAAGCTGGTGATTTTTTTTTTTTTTTTGAGGAGGAGGAGGAGGAACAGTTGGGTGTTTATTTTATTTGTCTGTGCTCTGGGTAGGTTTTTTCAGCTGCTACATTGTAATTCTGTTTAGCTGATAGAAATGAATCTAAAATATCCTTTTACTGAGGAGGAAATAGTACTGTGTTTTATTTTGGGACATGTTTATTAATTCTTGAAGGAGAGTAGGAAAATTATGCCTTTTTCTTAATTTCAGATTCAGAATGAGAACATAGAAAAATTACAAAAGGGATCAAGTCTTACTCTGGGTAAGAGCATTTTATCTAAAAGAGCCAAATAAATTTCATTACATCAAAAAGACTGTTGTTTGAAAGTTGTGTTCATGGCTAATCCTGTTAATAACATCAGGAGCAGAAAGTAGTTGATACCTCTCAGAACTGAGCCTGGCCTTACTGTTTGGTCTTGTATTTGCTTTGCTTGTGCTGCCACATCTTAAAGCATTCTTAAAAAATGTAAGCTTCCACTGTCAAAACTTCTTAACAGAATACTTTATTGGTAAAACCATGGATAAAATTGGCTAGCCAGCTCTGGAGGCCTGTGTGGTGCAGTTCTGTCCGTTAGCTCTGGAGAAGGAAATTTTTGTGTCAGTTCAGCAGTGAACTCCCCACCAGGCCAGCCAGGAAGTTGTGCATTGAATACCAGGTTCTTTCCATGTGTGTTGTGTTTTCTCTGGAAACTCCAAAATCTCTCAAATATGGTGATTTTTAAAATTAGTTGGCTGAATTGTTTCAGTGTAGAAGAGATTCATTATTCCTTCTAATCCCAAGCAATGTAGAATGAAATGCAGATAACATTTTAGAGGTGAATAATTTAGGGATTTTTAAACTTCAGTAGCATACATAGAAACTGAGAGGTCCCGATGGGTGAGAACTTTGCTGAAGGAGATACCTTTTCTTTATAAATGGTCTGGTGATTAAAAAATATCACTGGCACTTGCATGCTGAGATTACTTCTGTATGTTTTAGGTGCAGCAGAACCACTTCACATGTCCATTGAGGAGTCAGGATCAGTGCCACATAAGGTATAGTCTTGTGTATAGGTATGCATGTAAATAAATATAATCTCTGTGAGTATTTTTCTTAGTTTTCTTTGTGTTTAGTTTTGAGATTTCCTTGAGCTGTGTACAGGCAGAACAATGGGTACATCCTCAACCATAAACAAGTCCTGTGAGTTGTTTTTGCAGAATATATTTGAAATATAAAATATTTGCTGCTACTCTGGAAGCAGTAGTGTGCAAAATACATGTATATATGATGTGCACATGGAACTCGTACATTTATTAGTGGAGGCCAAGTTAAAACTTGTTGAAGTTCAGACCTCTTGCCACATGCATTAGAAATCACAGAGCTTCTTTGCATGCAGTAGATTTTGTTCTTGATTCCCTCCTCACCCCTTGCTCTCCAGGCAGAAGACAGACATGCTTAGTGTATTAATGATAAGGATGGCCAACTGCTATTTTCACTAGTTCTCCTGTAGATCAGGAACCAGCCTGTAGCAAATTGATTTCTTCAATCAATTCTCTATCACAACAATAGAGTCATTATGGATTATTTAGGAATAAGGAGGTTGTTCCCACTAAATAAGGAAATAAGTTTTCTGATGAGCAGTGCTTGCTTGCACACCTGAGGAATACAGAAGATTTCTACATTTATTGTGTTGGCAGTATGAAGATTATACGGTTTTAGTCTCTGTTTAAGAATCCTTATGGTAGTGAGATTGCATAACACAAGGACACAAAAACTAAGTTTGTACTAGAAATAGAAGAAAAAAATCATTAGTCCTTTTCTCCTGGTTTTTTGTTGTGTAGATAAGACACATTACAACCCAGTAGACAGATTTCTGCTAGCTACTTGATGGAAAACAACAGAATGTTATTTAATACATCTGTAACATAAAATTTGAGAAAATAATATGGTCTAAAAGTTGAGAAAGTGATGTATTGACTTTGTAATTGTCCTTTCACATTTCTCAGATGTCTGATGATTCTTACAGAATGCAAAGTCAACCTTTAGGAATATGCCTGATAATAGATTGTATAGGCAATGACACAGGTAAGTCTCTGGAATTTTAAGTCCCTTAACTTGTTAGTCTCAGATAATTAGAAGAATTAAGTATAAAGAATATAATGTTCAGTTTCCAGCCAAATTAGGGTAGTGTTGTCCCAGTCATTTAATCTACCAATTCTTGCAAGATTTCTAAAGGGAAGGGACAACATCAGGTTAAAGCCAACTGTCCTAATTATTGGAGACAACGTTTGGTTTTTTTTGTGCAGAATCTCTGAATGAAAGAATGTGGAAGAGGATTGACTGAATTTTGGGATGGACAAAAAGGATTTTCAGCAGCCAACAGAAAAATTAGGCTTACAGCAGTCGTAAAGTCATACAGCAGGTTATTGGCAGAGATGGTAGTGTTTCTCACCAGTTAACAAAACCAGAACTGTTGTGGGTTTGAAGTGCAGTCATATTGGACACTAGAGATTTTGAATAGCCATGAGGTCCTTTATTAATAATGCACCTGGACTTCTGTCCTATCTTGCACAGTTTGGCTGAAAATGTCACCACAGTGAAACTGAAAGTGTCACCACTGCTGTCAGTGTAGTCACTGCCATTGTTGAAATGTGGGGGTTTCCTGGTTGCCTTTGTAGAATCCTAGAATTAGATCTTTGCACGATCAAAAACATCCCTCACTCTCTAATCACTGTAACACGTGAGGCTAAAAATAAACATGAAAAGAGTATTTACAGTTAGTTCTGTAATAGGCTGGGAGATGTAGGGGAAGGAGAGGCTTTCTGGACATGTCTTTCGGTTTTCTCAAATGTAATGGTCCCACAGATTAACTAATTTAGGATTGCTGCTGTAATTGCAGGGCAGTGGTTGTGGAGCTCACACACAGAAAGTCTATCTCAGATGTTTGAGGTCACATTGTCAGCATTTACCATGATAGAAAGCAAGACTTGCACTGAAGTACATTATGGTGCTAGTGGGATTGAGAGGAGATATGGCATATGGCATTGCTTAAAGGAGTTTGCTAGAAAGGCAGAAATAGTTGTGCCACACTATTCTGAAGTCTGAGTACACTGAAGAACAGACAGAGAAAGCATTAGAAATTGTATCTGTGGCATCCATAAGAATCTGTAGCTGTCCCAAGATTTAATCTCAGGAAGGTGAACCATGTAGGATCAAGAATTACAATACTTTATAATGCCCAGTGTAAACAGCATGAATTTATCAAATGTTGATAAAATTCAAACTGAAATGCACCTTGCTGTTTTGTAAATAGCTGCTTTTGACTTTTCAATTTAGAAATCAGTTTTAATCTTTACGTTGCAAATAATGAGGGGAGAAAAGGTTAGTGTTTTATGTAGAATGGAGATGCTGAAAAATCAGTGGAGGTTTGTTGACAGTTGGCTAGTGTTGAAGAAATAGGTAGTTTCTGATCTCAGGCTGCAGCATGTAATGCTGTGGTGAGTCTTGCCTTAGAGTGTCCGAGGCTTATACAAGGCTATGTACAATTTCTGATTAATTGTTAACCAAGTTGTCAGCTCTGAGTTTTTGAGTTGGTTCTTTTAAACTGTGACAGTTAGTGTGTATGGGGACTAAGGTGACACCAGGTTTTGTATTTGTGTGCTTATGTGCAGCTGCCAGTGAGATAAGAACATTAGGAAAAGCATTCTCACTGCTATAATTCTCATTTTGTACATGTTCTGTTACCCGTGACTGATGGAGGGCTTCATCAAGTGTGTAACTGCTGGGTCGTAGTGATACTGAGTAGTCTGAATTTTGAGAGCATGTTTTATTGCATAAAATAAGGAAGCTTTATCTTTCTATTCTCAAATTAAAAATGTCTGGACAGTTTTTTAATTATCTTACAAAATTTAATCAAACCAGCAGAATTGGAATGAAACTGTAGTTATTTTTATCACCTCACTATAGCGTAGAGTTTGTGTCTACAGTTTATTTTGCTGAGGAAAGTTATGAGTTCTGTTTCTTGTGTTCACTGTGGGCTTTGTGGGGAGAACAGTCTGGTAGCACAGCTGCTTTACTGCCATTACCTCTGAAACAGCCCCTGCTAATTAAGGCTTGTTAAAGTTTTGAAGTCAAAGACAGCTGTGGGTAAGTTTCCTATGTGTGTAAGGCATTTTATATAAACATGGCACTTGACAATTCTTTTCCTACCAGAAGCTGTCCATGGGCAATGTATGTGTGTTTTATACTAAACATACAATGCTACAGATATAAGTCGTCGTAGTAGCTTGTGGTTCTCTGAACACTTAATACCTGTGGTTTTAACTACCATGTATCTGGTTTCAGTCCCATATTAAGATACATCCAATGTAGTTATTCAGATCTTAACACATTTTCTGCAGCACAGGTTAACACAAATACAGTAAGAGTTAAGTCTTGGGGTTTGGCTACCTACAAATGTCTTAACTCAATTGAAAGAGTTCATTATTCAGCTTTCTTCTTTGCCTGAAAAGGCCATTCTGTCCCAGTTAAGACTCCAGTGTCCATTCTTTACCTGGAGCTCATCACTTAAAATTTTAGGAAGCAAAAATGACTGCAGCAGGTTCATTTTTGACTGATGAAAGAGAACCTCTGTGTTTCTTATGCAGTTCTGTGTATCTATAATAACCATTCAAGGTAATTTTGACAAATTAAAAGGTGAAACAGACTTCCTATGCTGTCCAGATCATTCTTTATCATTTCAAGTCTGTTTTTTTCTTGCCTTGTATTTTAAGTCTTAGGAACTTGGAATACTGGCTCTAAAGGAAAGCATGTATGTGTCTGTGGAATGTGAAACAGATAACAGTGTCTCTGCTGTCATGAAACATGTAGCTCACAGGAAAGACAACATGCATATAGCACTATAAGTATGTAATGTACTGTGATCAACACCAAGTGTTCCTGATTTTTAATTATTGTGATAAAATAAACTACTTTGTTTCAATAGAAAAACACTCTTAAGTACTGTAACTCAATACAGATGAGACTGAGCTTTGGTGTACCTTGGTTTAATTACATCTTGCTTCTTTCAGATGTGTTGGAAAAGACCTTCAGAGGCTTAGGCTATGACGTTCATTGTCACAGGTATTTAAATATGAACTCCATGAATCAAAAATTGCTTGAAGTTGCAAGGTGGCAGAAGCACAAATATTGTGACAGCTTCGTTTGCATATTGGTCAGCCGTGGAAACTCTCAGAGCATCTTCTGTACGGACCATACCTTTTCTGGATTCCCTTTGGAACAAATAAAGAAATACTTTACAGCAGATTCATGTCCTGGACTCCTAGGAAAACCGAAGCTTTTTTTTATTCAGAGTTATGTTGTGCCAGAAAATGAGCAAGAATGTAGCAGTCTGTTGGAAGTTGATGGGAATGCTGAGAATATCAGTTCTAAAGTCACGATTCCCCATGCAGCAGACATCTTTTGGAGTCATTGCAAGGTGGATGTGTCTAAACTAGAACAATCCCCAACTTCATCCTCATATTATCTGCGTTGTCTGGCTGAGCTACTCCATAATCCTTATAAAAGGTAAATTAAAGTAAGAGGAAAAAAATCACCCTTTTTCTATGATAGCTTATTTTCATGGAGAATGAGAAACCTTAAATTTCAAACCATCTGGCCCTGAAATATGTTTTCTTGCAATGTCATAGTCAAAAGAGAAGTATCCTCATACAATTGTGTAGAAAGGTAGCTTAAACTAGGAATGAAATTTTTGATTTTGCAGTATAAAGTTAAAGTGTGTTAAGGCATTAGGGTTTGCAGAGTAAGAAGGGAAGAACCTGTCCTAGATAATGTATGTCAGTGCTTTAGATGGGATTGGAAATCTTCCTTCTCCAAGATAAACAGGCTTCTGTTAAATTGAGGATTGCCATGTACCATTAAGATGAGCTGTGCTTGCAAATGTAAACAGTCAGTACTTAAATTCAGGACAAAGGCAGTAGAGAGGGAAGGATTTTCTACTTTCTCTAAATTTAATTAACCATTTTTTCACAGAGCCAATTGATTTCCAATATGTAATCTTGAATTTAAACTATCAGAAAACTTTTGTCTATTAAAGAGATCCAAAGGAATCTGTGCAAAACTCAGAGGCATTTGGATATATAACTTACCAACAAAGGTTTTATAACTTATCAACAAAGGTTTTATTTATATAGCTGATCTACCAGGGAGCTAACAACTGTTATTCAAGGTAGTTACAGTGCTAACATTTAGTACCTTTTTACAAGCCCTAAAGCCTTGTCACAAAATCACAGATCATCATGTCAGCATAATCAGTGTCACAGCAATGATTTGGGTCATAAGAGTTTGTCTCAAAATGTGTGTGTGTGTGTACAGCCTTGTGTGTTAGAGGTTTTACCTCTGCAGTAGAGACTGAAATTACAAACTTTCTCCATGCTGAGTCTGAAGTTATCTTCTTTCTTGTGAATTCTTAAATGGTGTCTTGCTTCATTCTCTAATGGAATGCTTTTGATTTTTTTGCTGCAGGAAACGCTGTATATTGGCTATCCATATGGAACTGAACAAAAAAGTTTATGATGGGAATATGACCGTTGACCCAAGCCAACAATACTCACTGCTGCTCCAGCACACACTGAGGAAGAAACTTTTTTTCCCCACTTAACTGCTGTTAGAAAGTACATATCTGAAATTATTAACAAGAAGCATTTGCTATGATGCTGCCATTTAATTCCTACCCAGTAATGCCAGATCTTTGCTGACAAGTTCTGGCTTGCATGCCTCTATAGACTGTCAAAACAGAAGGGAGAGAGAGATCTCTCCCTTTTCAGTAATCAGGATTCCATACTTTTATTTATGCATTGTTATTTCATGTATATCAAAAGTGCCTGTTGCTGCCAAACACAGGAATTTACAAGCGTTTTAGTGTGCTAAGACACTAGATTTTATATTTTAATACTGTAGTCTCTGAAAGCTTGATTGAGAATAGTAGCTATTGTATAGCAGTGCAACATACCTTGTTACTGAATACCCCAGGTAAACAGTGTAAAGAGATCTAAACTGTATAGCTGTTGTGTTTTCCGAGAAAAAACAAAATGTTTTTATTGCTTCATTAGTAGTTTTTAACATACCTTCTAGCAGTTAATACTTAAACAAATACTTTAAAAAGCCAGCCCAAACCACTGAAACACATTGATTACTTTCCCCTGCACCTAGTTGTGGCAAATGTCTCAGGAAAGCATTCCTACCCAGTAATGCCAGATCTTTGCTAGCAAGTTCTGGCTTGCATGCCTCTATAGACTGGTAAAGCAGAAGGGAGAGAGAGATGGTCTTTTCAATAATCTGGATTCCATCTGTTTGCTGTATTAAAGATTGCATTGCTAGAGCTGTCCACAGCACACAGGGGTTCTGTGTTAATAAACACAGAGACAGTCTGCCATCTTTGGGCCATGTATGTTTTCTGTTGATGCAAAAATGAGTCTACATGTGACAGGACATTACAGTAATCTGCCACACAGTTAAAAAAATGTGAGATTTTGGCAGATATCTTGTGGAAGCTGAAACATGATTCACACTCATTGTACCAGGCATAGTTGTAAAAAGAGACTTTAAAATATTTCAACTTAAATGTAGTATGTAGCAGCCATGGGCCTTTAAGACTGGATTATGTTAAACACCCCGCCCTTACTGCTTTTGCTTGTGAAAAAAGTATGCCTCTATTAATAATTTTTTTCCCAAGTGCTCTTGTTCTTGTGAAAAAAGAAAAGGGAAAATTGTCCTAAATCCAAAGCTTTTTCTCCAATGTAGCAGTTGCTTAACTAAAAGTTAACTGCCTTAAAGTTCAGTTAGCCTACTTGTATAACAGTGTAACCTGGATGGGTTGTATTGAAGTTTATTGTCACTGAACTTAGTGACAATAAAGTAGGCCACTTGTAAATATTTAATTTTTACTCCTCATATACTCCTATGTGGGAAAATAATTCAAGGTTCTGCTGTGCTTTGCTTGGTTTCTGTTTAAATTTTTAATGGAGAAAAGAAGGATACAGAATGACAGATGTGGAATCTTAGGAGTTACTTCTTGTGGTGGCTGGTAGATAAACTAAATGGTGAAACAAATGTTTCCTGTGGTTGTAGAAATAAGGTGTCATTTCAAATTACATATATCTAAGTAATATTAATATATGTGATCTTCTTCACAGATTAACTTCACTTTCCCATTTCCTTTACTAGCTTTTGCATTTGACAAGCACTTCTGCTACCCTATAGACAACCAAAAGCAGGGAGAATGGAATCAACAGGAGGCAGATGAGGAAAAGAAATGTGAAAATTTTAAGCAGGAACAAGAAGGGGAATGGTAGGGAGCATCAAGAGAAGAACAAGTAGGCGAAAGATGATTTGGATGAGAAATACAGTATCAATATTGGAAGGAGAAGAAAACAGGAAAAAGGAAGTGAGAATAATAGTGGCTGTCTTTACAGACTCTAATGATGTGGTGAGTTGGTTGATGTTTTGTGGACTGGTTGGTTGGGGGGGTTTAGAGTGATGCTAAATGCAACTATTTACTTAAGATATTAGTAGTAGAATAGATTCTGCTTTTACAGTTTTGTGACAAATTTGGTTTGGGGGTTAAGAAGTATATCTGTTATTTGCCTTACTGCAAGACAGTAAGTCCATGTCCCTTTCATTAATAAATTATGCAGAAATGCTGTTTTGAAAACTAGAGGCTCATGTAATTAACCCTTTCAGTGGAAAAGGAAGGGACTCTGTGCATGGCTGCTTGGTTGGAAGTGGTTATAATCCTCTAGAGTTGTGGGGATAGACATGTATTGTGCAGCATTCATGGGTGTCAGATACTGATTTTTTGCACTGATCCTCTGTAGATTCCTAAATATAGCCATACGCAATCTATAATCATACATCTAAGCAGAATTTATTGCCTTGTCACCTCTTTCAAGTGTGGTGTTCAGGCAAGCTGATCCCCTGTACCTGCTGCATAGTGAGTATTTATGCAGGACTTCTGTGATGGCAGTTGTCTGTCACTTCTCCCATAGCTTATAGGATCACAGACTCGTAGAATAAGCTGAGTTAGAAGGGACCCATCAGGATCATCACATCCAACTCCTGGCCCTGCACAGGACACCCCAGGAATCCCGCCATGTGCCTGAGAGTGTAGTCCAAAAGCTTCTTGAGCTCTGTCAGGGTTGGTGCTGTGACCACTTCCCTGGGGAGCCTGTTCCAGTGCCCAGCCACCCTCTGGATGAAGAACTGAAGAACCTCTTCCTAAAATCTACCCTAACCCTCCCGTGACACAGTTTCATTTCTCAAGTCCTGTCAGTGGTCACCAGAGACAAGTGGTTGATGCCTCTGCCCCTCTGCTTCCCTTCATGAGGATGTTGAAGACTGCAGTGAGGTCTCTCCTCTTCCTCCCCAGGCTGAACAAACCAAGTGAGCTCAACCCCTCCTCAGAGGGCCTCCCCTCCAAAACCCTTACCAGGTTTCTGTGTCCCTTCATACACATGAGGGGTCCTGTCTCTTCTTGCTGTAGTGCACACACAAAATTTGTGTCTAGAAGTGGATGCGGGGTGTGGACTGCATCAAGTTGTCCCTGTACTGCAGGTAGTGAAATGATTTCAGGTTAAATGATCCTTTAGCCAAAAGAAAAAGGGGGAGAGAATTTTGGATCCATCATGAGTTTAAGGTGTTAGCACAAGAACATAGAGAAAGCAGAAAGCAAACACTAATAACACTTAAATCTTCAATACAGCTGGTGAAATTTCATGGTCTTGGACTGCCAAAATGTCTAATTTTCAGAACTTACTGTTGGAGGAGATAAAACAAGTTACGCTGCTCCTGCATTGTCAGAGGTTGGAATAAGCTGTCAGAGTCAATGCTTTGGCACTTAATTACAGTTTTGGTTTCTGATAACTGGAAAAAAAATTCTTGTAGTTCTTTCTGTATGTGCTCCATATGTGGAAGGTGATGTCTTTAAGTGGCTCAGAAGCTGTATGCAAGAGGCAAGAGAGTCAGTGGCGTTTTGTACCAGACTTGAGTTGCATGGTTTTTCTCTGCCACCTACACTGATGTGGCTGAGCCATAAATTGAGTTTACTTCGCACTGTTACATATTTCTATATTACAGTGGTTGCCAACTCATTATCCAAAATAGAATTTATGTTCAAGAGGATGTTACTGTGGTAGCACTTGCAGATGGAGCATGTTGTATGGCTGATCTCCCCTATCAACTCTGCATAAGAAGTAACAGTGGCTCCTATTACAGATACCTGAGTCAGAGAAGCTTTTTATGGGAGTTTCTGAGAATTATTTTCTGCTTTCCAGAGTTTTAAGTTTCTGACATGCAGAACAGTATTGCTCAGGAGAGGCTGCTGTCTGTGTGGTTGATCTATATTCAATTTAAATTAAATCTCCTGTACTGAATTATTTGTCAGCTTTTCTGTGGCTGGTTTAAATTATGTCTATTTTTCAGCTTCTGTATTAGAAACAATAATAAGACACCATGATTGGATACAAATGCTGGGTTTCATGCTGATATTCTGAATAAAATTAATGTATGCAGTCAGACTGATTGTCCCTGTCTCCCTCTAGACCATAGGATAACTCTGAAATTCTTGGTCTGTTTATCTTGCAGACCTCTGTAACTTGTTAAATTAGGCTGTGAAGTTTACAGCTCTATAAAAACGAGCTGACATAATAAAGGACAGCAAGCCTTATAGTTTCAGCAGGTAACTCAGCTGCTCTTGGTGTGTTGGACAACTTTTGGCGTGAACAAGGAGACACTTCCCATCCTGTCTCCATTGACGTGAGGTTCTGGGGGGGATACAGGTGACCCCGGAGATGCTGAAGGCCCCAAGGAGCCTGCACTGAGCAGAGTCTGCTCACCTTCTTCCTCCTTCCAGCGGGGAAACAAAAATTCAAATAATGTGCCTGAAATGTTTGAGGCCTTTTTGCGATGTAGCCTGCTTTAACATGGCTTGGCAGCAAAAGCGAGGCGAATTACGGGTCACGTCTTACACTTGGTACCCCGGGCGCTGCCTGAAGCCTTTTCCCGGTGCCGGGCAGCGTTCCCGGGCGCGGGCGCTCACGAGGGCGAGCGGACGCCGGCGGGCCGGGAGGGGGCGGTGCCACCGCTCGTGGTGAAAGCCCCGCGGGCCCTGGCAGCCGTGCCCCGCTCCTGCCCTCGCACCCCCTGATCCCACATTCCGCCCTGCTGCTGACGCCGCCTCCTGCTCGGGCAGACCCGGGACGTGCCTCCCCCGCCCGCGGCGAGCCGCGAAAGGGACCGCGAAGGGAGCCGCGAGCCGCCGGCACGGCTAGCTGCCGGGAGAGGGATCGGGACTGGAATTCGTGTGAGAGGTACCAAAACGTGGTGCTGAAGTGGAGAGGGGTCGAAGGAAGGCTCCGTAACTCCCGCTCGCTTTTGGTGTGGTGGCTCCCGGCTGCGCGCGGCCTCCGGGAGCTCCTGCCCACGTGCGCCTGCGGGCCCCGCTGCGGTTCGCGCGCTCCGGCTTTGCCTTAGGGTTAAACCCTTGGGGCAGTGCTCCGGCCAGTTAAAAAACTTAAAGTAAAGGTAATTTTACAATTCTTATCTTGCTTATTTCATACGATTTATCCTTTTCTGAGGCGATATCTGAAAGCATACACCAGAGATGCGGACTGGTTACTTTTCTGTGTCGATGCCCCGAGGCAGCTGTGGATATGCGGGTGAGCCGCTCCAAGCTTGGGCAGCGAGCAGATCCTGCACTGATTGTGCGCCCCCTTGTAGAAACCTTTGCTTCCAACTGCTCTAAGCAAAAGATGGAAGACCTACCAGCCCGAAGGCACTGGAGCACCTTCTTATCTATTTAACCTTCCACGGGCAGAATAGAACTGCCTAGGCTCCATGGAAGAAGTTGGTGTACTGGAATGTCGATTAGTCTCTATTAAACCTGAGTAAGAGAGAGTTGCTTGTGCAGAGCCTATTTAGACTGAGCATTGAGTGCTATTACATTTTAACTGCCAGTTACTTGTAAGGGAGGCTTATAAGGGGTTTTCTATGACAAATATCAAATTACAGCTGGGAGTGGATGGTTATTCCACAGCTTTTGCTTGGGTGTCAGCCTTCTAACAGAGGAACACCTTCCTGCTACAGCCAGGGAACAAGCTCTTGGACTGCAGATCAAGGAATATGCACGAACTACTGTGCTGTCTCCATTAATAGTTGTAATAAGTTACTTCAGGGACTCTTCCCCATTACAACAGAAAGAAGCAAAGATCTGAATGTGGAAGATGTTCAAAAGAAAAGAAGATTCAGACCTTGAGGTCATCCAGCACAGTTTTTTGCTCAGAGCAGGGCTAACTTCAATTATAGACCGGGTTGTTCAGAGCTTCTGCCAGATCTGGTCTTTCTGTGGTCTGTGTTTAGACAAGGAAGTAAATTTCAAATTTATTTAAAACCTTTATTTATTAAAAGGTAATTCAGGGCTTCCAAACAACCACTGGGTAAAATTTTAGTAGAAGGATTGCTGTATTGAAGATTTAAGTGTTACTAGTGTTTGCTTTCTGCTTTCAGTCAGAGAGAAGCTGTTGCAGCTGTTGGTTCCAGCAACATGGAGAATAATAGCAGCTTGAAGTTCCGTCAGCAGCTTTTCCTTATTAGTGAAAATCTGGTGACTGAAGATGTAGCAGCTTTAAAATTTCTCTGTACTGACTTGCTCCACCTCAGTAAACTAGAAGGTGTGAAGTTAGCAACAGACATCTTCAGGCTCCTTATGGCTCAAGAATATCTGAATGCAGAAGATACTTTCCTACTAGCTGAGCTCTTATATAGAATTAGATGTCACTCCTTGCTCAAGAAAATTGGTTACACCAAGGAGAAAGTACAAGAACATCTGAGTGAGAAGGGAAGAATATCTCCATACAGGTAAGCTTGCAGTGGAATTCTCTTCCCTCCATTACTGCTATCTATGCCATACTGTTTTCCATTTTTAAATTCTTAGATTGCCTTTGGTTTTTATGCCATCTTCTGTTCCACTTTTATCTCACTCTGTCTCTGTTACAGGCAGATGCTGTATGAATTGGCAGAGAACATCACCAGTGAGATGTTGAAGGAAATAATTTTCCTCCTGCGAAACCATCTTCCAAAGGGACGGATAATTCTTGTATGTGAGGAGTCAAATGAGCCAAATGGTGGGAAGGGAAGAAGGAAGGCGGGAAATAGAAGGAAAAGTGTGAGAAGTGTTTGGCAGAACAGAGCATAATATGCAACTAGACTGGTTGTATTCATAGAGATAGCAAGAAGGAAGATGTTGACAGGCAAGAGTAGAATTTGGTCCCTCGTGCCAAGGTCAGTCACTGACAGTTTGCTGTCTAGCATCAGAGTATAAAAAGGTGACAAATCAAATCTTTGCCCTACTTGAGCCATATGCAAGGGAGATTGATGTCCATATGTCACTGGTAGTTTCACAGCAATGAAGCCTTCTTGAAGCCACGAGTCATTAATATGGTTTGGGTGAATCTGTTTAAACAAGACCATACCAAATAGAAACACAACCAGTGGCTTCCATGAAGCAACATTTCTGCTTTAACGGTGATGTAAAATTGACTGGTCCTTGTTGGTAGGGAGCAAAGCAGATAATAATGTGATTGTTTGAGACAGGGCTGAGAGGCAAGTTTTGACTTCTAAAGAACAATAATTATATTTTACTCTCTCCTTTTGGCTGTCAGTCTGCTTTGGATTTGCTGACTTTATTGGAAAAGCAGGGCCTTTTAACTACAGACAATGTAAAGATACTGGAGGACGTCTGTATGACCGTTTCACCTGATCTCCTGGAGACAATAAACTGCTACAAAAAGGGAAAAGGTGAGAAATTCATCGTCTAGGAGTAGGTTTGCTAAAATGCAGGAAGTACTATGGGTCTGAGCTACTGAACTTAAGGTCATATGTGTGTATTGCTGAAATGGGAGCTAGAGTGGCATAAATCTCGCATAACAATTCCTAGCCTGCATAATTTCCTAGCTGAATCCCTGAAATACAGGGATGTGCTGGAATATCTGAGGCCACACAGAGCAACCCAGCACATACAGAACAGGGTGGGAAACTGAAAGTCTGCTGATAGTTATGTCTCATTTCTCCATTTCCCCACTAATAGTATTGAGATGATGACAACTGTCCTGTAAAAGGCACTTGGTGATCTGTGAATATGCACTGCATAAAGGCAGTTGCCTGCAAATAGGCTGGCAAGACTTACTGTGTGTGTTTATGTGTCTGATACATGGGCTATGAGCAAACAAATGATTTATGGTTTTAGATTTTTAAAAAATAGATTTATTAGTGATTAATGAGAAAAAAAATGTCAACTTCAGTAGTAAGAAGGCATATTCTTCTTAAATACTGGTAATTTCTAAGCTGATTTCCAGATGAAAAATTGATTTGAATGTGTTGGAGAATTTATCCTTGTACCATGGGTATCTTTATTTTGCAGTTTTGATACAAATAGAAGCCTTGCCTTTGTTACAAAAATACATCTAATAAAAATAAGCAAAAAATAGATCTAGAATATCAGAATAGATCTATTGAACATGACCATGCTATTTTGTATGGAGGAATTATTTCTTTCAGTGAAAGAGTATTTCACATACAAAAAGTGATGTATTGTAGCTAAACTCCTTTTTGTTGCATCCACAAATACTGGATTTATCTTAATAAATACCTATGCTGGGGTTTTTTTCTAGATAACAAGACAGCTAATTTTACACAAGGCTTCCCTGAGCTAAACCTGGAGCTGCATGGAGAATTCAGCAATGTAAAAAATGAATCCAAGGTCTGAGACAAACTCTTAAATCCTTTTTGAATACCTGCGGGTGTGGGGTTTTCATCCTCTCTTGAATGACATTTATCATGCAAGGACTTGTGAAATATCTGTCTCATAAAGTTTCTTGAGTTGACTGATAAATTTGAATATTTCAAAGAATATTTTAACCTTGGAGGCCAAAGATTTAGCAATATTGAAAGGTATCTTGTAGGCAAAATGGGCATAATACCTCTGAAGTGATTCACACATCAGTACTTATCTTCCTGATAAAGGCAAAACATTTTGCATTTGTCTAAGTTGTGCACTTTGGAGATGGCAGTAGAACGTGCAAGACGCAGAGACAAATGGAGTTTCATAGTTCTCACTTTTTGCATCTGGTTTTGAAACGGCCTCAGGGCAGCTTGAAATTAGAAGTCATGAGGGGTAGCATGCAAAGCCTTTGTTAGAAGGCTTAAAAGGAGGCAAGAGTTTTTAGTAAGCCATTGCAGAAGTCTTGGTACATGAGAAAAGGTCCTTTTTGTGAGATCCCCTCTTAGAGGCCTTTATGTGCACTCTTAAACCATAGCAGTGCAACCATTGAATTCTCCCTCTGGCCTTTTCTTTGTGATGACCATGGATATTGAAAGAGCAAGTTGCTCCATTTGTTTATAGCCATTTAATTACTTGAAGTTCTGTGCTGTAACATCTTTTCATCACCTGATGTTCAGACTGCTGCAAAGCTGTTGAAGGAACTTGGAGTGCTTCCTTCATTTTGTCCTACTAAAATGCACAAAAGGAGGTGTTGCTCTCTAGTGAGGAGGAAGGGACTCTGGTGGATGGAGTTTTTTTATTGCAACCCAAGGTTGGACCTAAATTCATGTTACTTGAAGTTTTGATTCTTTTCAGCTTTAAAAATGCTTTTGGTTTTGTTTTGTTTTTTGGGTTTTTTTTCAAAAGTGGGAGGTAATTTTAAATCTTAACCAAGAAACTTGTAGTGTGATAGGTTTATGTACTTCTGAGATTTCTGTTCTGCTTCCATCCTTTTCCAGTGGATCAGTATGAATCACCTAGTCCAGGTATTTATTACTGTTCTCAAAAAAAAGCCAACTCAGATGTCTAACTTCCTATAGTTTCAGTGTGATCCCTCTGCCATTAAGCTAAAATATTGTTTTTGGCATTGGAATCAGTTGGGGTCTTCTGTCCCCGTCACCAACTCAGATTGTAGAGTTTGGCTGTTAAATCCTGCCTCTTGCATACAGATGACAACCCAGATGCTAAATCCTTCTACTGCAGTTTGATAGGATGGTGACAGTGTGCTTGGAGTTTCACTGCTGTTTTTTCACACGGGGAAGCACCATTGAGTTCCAGATGTTCAAAAACTGCCCACAGTCTTAGGTGCCTCTCACTCCTGGATGCCAATTTTGAGACATGTTAAGGAAATATGAGTAAGTTGAATAAATTAATTGAAACTGTAAGCTTTTTTATTCTCCTTCCTACAGACTGAAAGATTGAAAAGCTACAAAATGGATGGGCCACACAGAGGATTTTGTCTCATTATAAATAATGTTAACTTCAGTAGTTCTCAGAGGATGGGTTCTTGCAAAGATGCTGGTAAGTTACTGAAGTGAGATTTTTGGAGGATCTCTGTTTCCCCAAGTGACTTGATTATGTAGTATTGCCCTATATTTTAGTGTCTATGGTTAGTTAATATTCTAAAAGAGGGAAATGTTAGATATGTGTTAAATTATGTCATTTGTGTATCGTGGGGTAGGAGAGGATAAAGGACAAGTAACCACAAGGTTTTTCTGTTGGATTATTCTTGAATAATTTTAAGAATCACTTTTTACTTATCCTTTATCTATAGCTATAGTAAAGAACTAAAACTAAACTAAATTAAACCATCATTCTACCTAATATAATGCAAAAATCCATACTCAAGCAACTCTGTGCATACTTCTTACTTTGTTCTGCTTCTTCTATTTATTTCTTATGAATGGAACTCTTAATAGTCAAAAGTGCAACTGGAAAATAAGGATGTGAGGAAGATTTTGAAAGATCTTTTCTGAAACTGGGGAAGGGCAGATTCTTTGTGTTTTCAAGTGTCGTTTGTGTGCTCACTTACAATGACAGTGTATGCACTAAGTCTGGAGCTTGTCTAGAAAAATCCAGGAACTCTGAGCTAATGCCATCTTTTTTTATTCCGGTTAACCTTTAGTTGGTACTAGTATGAGAATGAATCTGGAGAAGTGTCAGGGTGTAAGGTCTTTCCTCCTCGCAGATTAGCTTGCATGGTGACTTCATAAAAAGTTTTCCTCTTGCCTCGAATTTTCCTTTTATTTTTCATTTATTTACAGAGCAACTGGAGAGAGTGTTCACATGGCTTGGTCTGGATGTGATGACTTCCACAGATCTGACATCTGGGGAGATAATAAATCTCATGAAAACTTGGCAGCATAAGCAAGATCACGAAGACAGGAACTGTTTTATATGTTGTATTCTATCTCATGGAAAGTCAGGAGCAATCTGTGGGACAGATGACAGACCTGTGTCAATCCGCACGCTTATGTCCCACTTCACTGCCAAGCAGTGTCCCCAGCTGGCTGCAAAACCCAAACTCTTCTTTATCCAAGCATGCCAGGGTAACAAGATACAAGATCCTGTCTATGTTAATACTGATGGACCTACTCCTGACTTGTCTTCCATGCAAGAGAGCGTTTCTCTTTCTGAAAGTATTCCCGAGGAGGCTGATTTCCTCCTAGGCATGGCCACAGTTGATGGATGTGTCGCTTTCCGGCACATTGAAGAGGGCAGTTGGTATATTCAGGCCCTCTGCAGCAAACTACAATTGTTGGTACCAAGGTAAATACTTGGTGTAGTGCTCTGATTAAATTTTTCTTCTCCAAAGGTCATTCATCTAGGAACACCCACCCATGTTCTAAGGCAGATGGAATTAGTTAAAGTGATGATTTTACACTGATAAATTTACGTTAACTCAGCTAGTACCATACATGTAATCTGTAGAACGTGAAGTTTATTGTGAAAAAACCCTCAAACCTCACATCTATAATCTTTAAGACAGCACAGTTTATTGAGTGGTAGGTTAAAATATTTTATTGAACTATTTTTCTTTGTTGGTTGAATTAAGCAAGACAGGACAAGAAAAAGTCTTTTGGTTTTAATATGACTCAAATAAGAACAAAAGAGAAATTTGGAGAAAAGTATGTTTTCTTTTTTGTGTGTTAAATGTTTGTAGTCTATCTTCTAGCTGATCAGGGAAATGTTAAGTGGATTGCCATCTGCTCACTAATAACTAATTTTTTTTTTTTTTTTTTTTTTTTTTTTTTTTTTGGCTCTCCTTCTGGCTGTAGGGGTGAAGATATTTTGTCAATTCTTACACAAGTTAATGAAGATGTGGCCAGACGTGATAGCCCTTCAGGGAAAAAGAAGCAAATGCCCCAACCAGCATATACCTTAAGAAGAAAATTTATATTCCCAATACCAATGGCCCCTCCTCCTTCAGAGCAACATCAATGCTTTTAATACACATCATTTTTTCATCTCATTTAAATGCAGTTCATCACATTACCTGTTTTAAGACAACCAAAACCCTGATAATCTGTTAGCTTTGATGCAAGGCCTTATAAATTTTTTGTCAAACAGACTGTGAAACTGGAGGAGACACAATTAAAACAATCAATGTGCCAGCTATTTACATCATCTCTATATTCAGAATTATCAGTGTTGGAAAAACCACACTGTTTAACTCACGTTAAACATTTTTGTACCTGCACAGGCTGCAGATACTATAGGTTTTTCCTCGCAGCATAGGGATTGCATGTAAGCTTTCATATTTAAACCAGGATTGTTAATGGTCTGGTTTAGACTCATCATGTTTTATTTTGCAGGCTAAAAATTTTAAATCCTGTTTCTAAATCCACTACCTATGTTCATAGAGAGAAAAAAGTAGGAATAAAGAGACAAAGCCTTGGGTAGTAAATGGAAAAGCATTTCTTCAATCTCTAATGAAAATTACATTTAACTTAATAAAGAACCAGTTTCCAACTGAAATCAGCAATTTCTTCCAGTTTCCTCAAATGGCTAGCTTCATGTACAATGAAGTTTTCCAAAACTGAGTAAAGCCAAAATGCTGCTTATTATTCCCTCTGTGAAACCTTGTGAACTGTTATTTCCCCATCACTTCTGAGAAAATTTATGGTAGAAGATTTGCATGCTGTGATATACACCAGTCAGATTAACTTTGTTAAGCATTACATTTTTGAATTATAATTTGTTGGTTTAACATCTAAAATGCAGCCAATTTGTGAAGGCTTCTGTGGACTAAGCTGCTGACAGAATTTTGTGATTTAACTGAAATAATGCCTGTTATTTTGTTATGAACACTTATTCCATATGCCTGTGTCTTTCCTGTTTAATGTTTACTGCATTAAATTCATACTTTTTAAGAGCTTGGTGAGATAAAAATTTTCAGTTGGGGTAAGGATTTATCCTTGTTTTTGATTGATTCCTGCACTTTGTTGGGCTTCATGAATCAGTGAGGTTTTAACTGCTTTAGGGTTTAAGCTGACATTAAACTTTATGAAAAATGCATAATTTATGATTGGCTTTTTTCAAATATTACAATGACTCTTATATGTGTAATGTTAGAAAGTTATGCTGTATTAATTCTCTGAAGTGGTGTGTTAAATATAGTTTTAGGTTCAAACGTAATGTTAAAATAGAGTCTATGTATGTGGGGGAAGTGTTTTTTTAGGAATGAGATACTCGCTTCGAAGAACACCTAAATCTTCAAAAGGAGAGGAATTTATGGCTTCTTGTCAGAATAAGCAAATTTCTTCAGGCCATGGAGATTAAAGGAACAGTTGACATACAACAGACAGAGTTTCTTGTTTTAAATAGAATATATGCATAACCATGAAGGATATATGAATATACAGTAGTGTGTTGTTTTAAGGGTGATTCCTTTGTTCAGAAGTCATGCTTTTCGTGACTTAGTGTCTGAGAGCATCCGGATGTCTGTGATTCTTTGCTTTTTATTGTCTTGTAATTGTCCTAACTCTAAACGTTATTCATTATTATTATTATTATTATTATTATTATTATTATTATTAATAATTATTAATTATTATTAATAATTATTATTATTATTATTATTATTATTAATTATTTGGATAACCATTTTATTATTATTAAACTTTTAAAATTGTAAAAACCAAGTGATTAGCGTTTTTCACTAACTTCATCAAAATATTCATTGTTATATGATTAGCAATACCTTAAGGTGAAGATAGGAAAGAGTACTGTCTAGTGCTATTGGGTGCAATTTCTAGCTTGCACTATTTTTAGGAGGGGAGTTTTGCATCATACAGAGCATTGAAATGCAGCCAGTTTTCCAAAACATGATGGTCCCTTTATGATAATGAAGTGGTATTGCATTTTAATACCTGTTGCATTTTAAGTCTTCTGAGTTAGCGTGGCTGCCACACTTGAAGTCACATTTATGCCACAGATAAGAAAAATGTTTTGTCCTTAGGGGAATATATAGCATTGGGATGGAATTGTGATGTTTCTGGCTTGCAGTTATTGTTCAGACTTGATGCACTCATTTTGTGTGTTTAGGAAGCAAATACATTTTTATCAGTCTGAAGTAACCATTGACTTTGTTTTGTGGGATCTTGTTTTCATTTTTGGTTTGGTAGACAAGGAATGTCATCATGCTCTCTTGCTTTTTCTGTAGAAACTTCTGCCTGTGTAATCACTGGGTAATCTCCAGTGAAATCATAAGCAGGTAAAGGCAGTCAGAAGAGTGTAATCTTACTGAGCCTTGAGTTCTGTGGGGGGAAGGATCCACCCTTGTGAAGTGTGAAAGACTGGTAACGTCTCCCTTGCTCATAAGAAATTTGTTTAAACAAAGTTTAAACTACCCTGATTTTGACTATTTAGTGAGTATTTCACTTTTGTGTGTCAAGGGCTGTGTTTATGTGGCTGCACAGTGTAATACCTGGGTGTATGCAGTGGTACTTGTCAGCACCAACCCAAAGTAGGGCAGGCTGGAACTTGAGCATTTCTGTGTGATCTCCTGCAGGGTGTTATGAGATGGAAGTTTGAAACTCTTGGGGAGAGTGGGTTGGTTTTGTACAAGTCAGGTATTCATCAGTCCTTGCTGTCCACACTGTACACCTTTCCTGTGACTGCAGTGATACAGAGCTGTGTCAGAAAGAAACTGGTCACAACACAAACAAACAAATGTGGTTGGTTGCTGCTGAGGCTTACTGGTAGCATAGAGACCCACGCACGTGTGCAGTCTCCACCTACAGAATTAAGGAAGTGTTGTGTCTTGTGCAGCCCCTGGATAGACAGATTCAAGTGGAACTAGCGTAAAAAGTCTTCCAGAGAAGTTGCCATCTTGGCAAGGTCATTAAAGTGGTAATCAAGTTTCTTGGTATCCTGTCCCTCGTGTCATTTTTGTGCAGGAGCTGTGTGTCCCACCTTGTGCCAGTGCAGGCGACAGTCGCTACAGTTGCTGACCTGGCAGGAGCTGCAGCAGTTTTTTTTCCTCAAGATCACCCTTTCTATGGGATGGTTCTGGAGGAAACCAGGGAGCAGGGGAGCCGAGGGAAATGGGGAAAATAATTTAACAGTAACATTTCCAGGAAGGGTGAGAGAGGAAGAAATCAAAAGTGAAACTAATAGTGCCAAAGGGGTGGACCTTCAAGCTGCTGATTGAGAGGAGAAGCCATTATTTTTTTGTCATAGTGCTTATCACGGCACGGCGCCTCTTTCGGACTGCAACTGAAGTCTTGGTTCAGGTAAGACACAGAAAAAATTATAGAGGGAAAGATGCTGAGACTTGGAATGATGTGGAGACAAACATTTTGGACCTGAAGATGAAAGTACTTGTGGTGTTCCTCTGTGCTGTTCCCACCCTTTGGATGATAGTGTAATTCCTGCCAGTGAAACAAGGTTTTCTGATCTGTAGTATAGAGTGTGCCTTTTGGAAGGAGTTTATATGCCTCATTCTATCAACGGGTATGGTATAGTTTTGAGTTTGTAAAGATAGATAGGTTGAAATCCATGCATGACTGTTCTCATTGCAAAATTTTAACAAATGTCAGCACTCCAACTCTCTTCATAATGCTGCCATGAGGGTCTGCTGAGAGTCTGGTAGCCATACTGAGTGCTGTTTTATTTCCTGCTGTGTGGAAAATGCCAGTGACTTGCATGCTGGGAACCTTTCCATTGAAGGCTAAGTCCTTTACTTTAAAGAGAACAAATATGTAAGAAGTTAATTATGTTCAAATTCTCATCTAAATGGGGAAATATATTACATAAATAATTTCAGAATAATGTTCAGTTGTTGATTTCCCTGGGTTTACTGAGTGCTGCTACAGAATTTGGTGCTAATAGTTGGCTTTTTTCTAAATTTAAAAATATCTTCCTGTTAAAAATAAACTGGGATGAGTTGGAGAGGGACTTCAGAGAAAGGGGGTAAGTCATGGCAGATCTGGTGACACAGCAGGGCAGTGGGACTGAGATATTTTAAATGAAAATACGTAGATTCGGCCATCTCTCACTGTTTTTTAATTAGAATTTGTATATTAAAGCAAAAGTGCTTGAGCTGTGCTCTATGCTAGAAAGCACTAGGTATGCTCCAGAGCAAAACCTGATTACTTCATGGCTTGTTTACCATTTTTTTCTCACAAGTTCTCTAATAATCAGTTCTCTGAAAGTGGAAGTAGCTGAAGTAGGGATCTCCTGCTTTATTAGCATTTTATTCCATTGTAACATATTTCTTGGTAGTCTGTGACAATACCGTATTGTAAAAAAGGCAGACTTTTCCTGGAACTTTAGAAACTGGCTCTCTCACTTTCTGCAGAGTTGTTCTCCCATGTAAGTGATTTAAAATTACTATTGCAATTAATAGTATTTTTACTCTTATCAGTTGTGTCTTTAAGTTAGCAAACTGGGAGAAAAAGACAGTGGCAGTTAAATATTTATATTGTTTTAATTGTGCTCCCTGTAATTACAGACAGGTTTAAATGTAACATATAGGTAGCACATCTCTTCTAACTGCAATTATTTAATGGGTTTGAAACTTAGAGCCTTTGAGAAATAAAATGAAATTCTCTTTACAAGAAAGAATTACTTCTATAAGCAGTATCTCTTGTATCTTAAATGAAAGGCATGATTTATGTGAGAAAGAAGATAACTTCATAACTACCTACCAAGAAAAATATTCTTTCCTGTGTGGTTATAGAAATATAAAGTCAGGTAGTCATTGAGGTTAAGTACATTCAGATACTACTGGTTTATATGGGCTGAAGAATATGGATTCTTGCCTGTTTAAAAGTTTGGTTTGAGTGGATTTAAAGAAAACAGTATTTTGGGGCAGAACACAAATTGTTTGTGCTGTGTCACGTGTTTCACTGTTTTATCAGTTTAGTTGAAATGCAAAGGTTTAAGATTCAGTTGTACATTTACTAGATTCGGTTGTACATTCACTCTTGCTAACCCACACAATGCTGAGCAAGGGCATGCCACAAAAAGCTCCTTTGCTGTAGAGTGGTCCTTGGAGGACAGCAGAATACAATTGTCTGCTAATTATTATTTCCAGTTTCCAGCTTGGCTACCTTGTTATTGAAACATTTGCAGGAGCAATAAGTAAAATGGATTGCAGTATTCCAGTAGTGTAGGAGTTGGAAAGGCTCTTTTTTCATTTTCGACTTTTCTGTCTCCCACTGCCAGTGTCTATAAGACAAGAGACCTCTTCTGAATGCATTTATATAGCTTTTCTTCAGAGATTCCCAGGTGTCTGACAGCTAGGGCAGAGAAAGTAAAGTGGCAAACGGGTCTCTAATTAGAAGAAAATGGAGACAGGTCCTTTAAGTGCCAGCTGTAGGCTGATTTGTCTCAAGCATCCTGAGCATTGCTAAGGAGAGGCGTGATCAGGGGAGATCACCCCCCCGCCCCCGAGGCAGTGGGGCAGCGCTGTGCTGAGTCAGCTTCCTGCTCCACCCTGAGACTCGTGCTCCATCCCCCAGCCCGGCTCACTTCAGGGAAAAGGCTGGCTGTGCACACGCGGGCAAAACACGCAAGTCTCATTTAGGTAATGGGCACGCACCAGGTAACTCCAGCAGGACACAGGTCGGCAGATTGGGCACACACCCCCTCCCCCCTTTATGCCCTCTATGTTCTCTCTCCATCTCCAGACTATCCATGTGGCAGCATCAACACAGAATCTAGGGACTGAGATCTTCTTTGCTTATCTTATCTTTCTTGGCTTGCAGAGCTAGAATATTTTACCCCATATTCCATTCTGAAGTTTGTTGTGGAGATTTTTGTGGCTCGGGAGCCAGCACCTTTTGAGGAGTTTGTTCTGGGAGTTGTGAAGTGTACAGTTCAAAATTAAGGGCTTGTTAGCCTCCCCTCTTGTGGGAGTGTATTGTATAAATTTAAGGGCAGGTTAGCCAATACCTTTTGAATTTAAACATTGGGCTGGTCACCGCAGTTAAGAAAATGTACAATCAAACAATGAGAGCTCCTGACACATCCGGTGTCTTTGTTCAGCTTGACAAGAGTTTATAACAGACACCAACATGCCCATGGGTTGTCACATCAGTGGAGGCAGGTCCCTTAAGTGTCAGAGGGGATAGATGGAAGGCTTGGTATTTTCTAACTTCCCTTTGTGCTCAAAAATTGAATCTATAAGCCTAGTTTAATATTTCTAAAGCTGATGGAGAAAGTGGAGGAGAAGGGAGGTGATATTCCATGCTCAATGAAACAGAGATAGTTTGATAAGAATTCTTCTGGCCTTTTTAAGAGGGTTGACATGGTGTGTATTTGCTTTTAATGTTATAAATTAATTGAGAGCTGGGAATAGAGTTTTACTTGATGCAGATAAACCAAAACAGGAAGAGGTGCTTTGGGTATGCTGGCCAGAAGCAGTATAAAAAGAAAGGAGAAGCCAGATAGCTTAGAGTAGCTATACTCATGTGGACTCTCAGTCCTGTTACGGTGTAAAATTTGTCAGTCTCATTTATTACACAGTCTATATTTCAGACTGGCAAGTAGCTGTTTCTCCCAAATGGTATCAAACTTCAAAAAAAACCCAAACTCAAAGAAAATGAGCAGCTGCCTGCCAGGATTGTACATCCTGTAAATTGGTACTTCCCACTGTCTAGACACACCATAGGAAGCAAGAATAATTTATCACTTTCTCTGCTAATGTCACTTAGTAGTGAGAGGTTACATATCCTTTGTTAAATCCAGAAAACTGAAGGAGCTAAGCATCAAAGCTATGATAGCAAGCCAGCCTCTCTCTATTGAAATACTTCTGATTGTATGTATTTATTTTGGGCTATTCTACACGATGTGATACCTCTTATATAATCATGTTGTTGCACTAGTCTTACTGACAAAGGAAATCAACTCCTGTTTGTGTTTAGATCCAAATCCTGATGTGAGATGAGTACAGATTTCCGCAAACTGCTTTTTGAAGTTTCTGAGGCTTTGGTGACAGAGGAACTGTCAGCTCTTAAATTCCTCAGCCTGGACCATGTCCCCAGGAGGAAGTTGGAAGCCATCCATGAGCCCAAGGCCTTCTTTGAAGTGCTGCAGGAGAAAGACATGATCGGGGCAGGGAACCTGTTCTTCCTGAAGGAGCTGCTCTACCGGATCCATCGGATCGACCTTCTGAGTACCCCCCTGGGCTGCAGCCGCGAGGAGATGGAGAGAGAGCTGCAGCTCCCGGGCAGGGCACAGGTGTCAGCTTACAGGTAAACACAGGAGCATGCACAGTGTAACAGTTCCGTGTCAATTGTCTTTTCTGTCTGCACTGTTGTCTTCTGAATATCCCAGCATACATGTGTTTATTACACATCAATTCCTGCCATTGTGAGTTTTACATTTTGCAGTTCAAATGTTTAATTGCGGTGTTTACTTCTTTCTTGAAGGTCTCTCTATTGTTTATTGTCAGGCAACTGCTGTATGGAATTGCAGAGGACTTGACTTCAGAAGATGTCAGAAGTGTGAAGTTCCTGCTCCAAAAACAATTACCAAAAAACAAGCTCCAGGAAAATGCTGTATGAAAAGTGGTCTTGAGAAGTTTTTTGCAAGGCTAGTTCAGAGTCCTCTAGTTCTTGTAAGAAGGGAGGAAAGACAAAGCAGTCTGCTCTCATGAAAATCTAGTTTGAAAGAATTGTGATGTTAACTAATAGCTGCTGTGTGAAAGAATGGATCCTTTTTTTTTTTTTATTGTATCTTTGCCTTTTTTGCTCTCCTGATTCTATTTTCTTTCCACGATCTGTCTCTTTAATCTTATTTTCTTGTAAAATCCATTATGCTCTTCCTTAAATCTTTGCTTGGCATTTATAAGACAAATGTCTTTATAAGACATATGCTATACCTAAGAAGAGTGATGTTTGCTAAAGGAAAACAATGTTTTGGAGACAGAAAATTGAGTTTTAATGTGAGTTGAACCATAAATTTTTGTGTGTCAATGGGTAAATTTTCTTCTTTATTATAATTTGGAGTAACAACATATTGTTAACTTTCCCCCAAGAATATTAAGAGGTTGGGTGAGCTAGTTTAATATTTGTAATGAGCTGTGTTATAAAAATGCTTGATATTATTAAGAACCTTCCTGAAAAGTCCTATTTGTATTGTGGCACATAGAGGAAAATTAGCTGATTTATCTCCAACTTGGTGGACAATTGAGCTTTAATAAACAAAATTAGTGCTGAACAGCTTTTCTGTGACAGAATATGGAAAATGGCATAGCTAAAGGACTTAGCTGCACTTCATCAAAACACAAATGCACAACAGGATGTTATATTATCCTCATCAGTGCTTTGTACTGCTGAAACAAAGCAGGATAGCCTAGTTATAGGCATTTTCTAATTGTCCTGGTTTAACCTTAATGATGATGGGTTTATTCAGTTGCATTGCATCTTGACCCTTGCTTTAATGAGTTTTGGAGGAAAAAGTAATAGGTCTTTACCTGGTCAGTCTCTGGGAATGAGGATGTTGTCTTCTGCCCTGTTGCAGAGCTGCCTGATTCTGCGGTTATCTAAGGTCACTGGATGAGTTTGGGTTATGTGTTTTTGTTTTACCAGTCAATGTTGCAGGTCTTTCTGGAAATGGAAATAAAAGGGATAATTAAAGAAGATAACATGACAACGCTGAAAGATATATTACAGAGATTTAGAGCTGACATAAAGAAAAAAATTGATGCCTATGAAGAAAAAAAAAAAGGTAAATTTATTTAAGCTGTTTAAGAACAGATCTGGGGTCTTTTGTGGGTTTTATGGCTCCGTCCTTGGCAGCTTAGAAGTCCAGTGATAAGGGAGAGACCTTATAGTACCCTAGGACAGGCAGAACAGCTCTGGAGAACTCTGACTTCTGAAGTTTTCTGCTACTTCATTATCCCATCATGGATTCTTGTATCTATCCTTTAATAATGTTCTGTCTCTTGGAAGTGGCCTTCTTCTGCCTTCTCTTTGTCTTAAATGCAATTTATCTGTTTGGGAAAAAGTGCAGTGCTGGTTTTGGACCAGCATAACGTCCAAGTCACTGCAAGAGACAGGAAGTGACCGGTGACAAACTTGTGTTGCAAGATGTCAGCACTATCTTCTCTTAACCAGGCCCCTAGCTCTTAGTCAAAGGGAAGGCCCTGAAAACCAGTCACTTGGCTAAAGTGTAACTTTCTGTAACCAGATGGGAAATTTTAAGGACTTGATTATATCCCGGCTGTTGCAGCTGAGGTGGTGCTTTCTGGCAGCACAGCCGGGTGTTCCTTTGGGAAACAGGATGTCTCAGTCAGTAACAACTTCCCTCTGAACAACTCAGGTCATGTTTGCTCAGATACATTTAAACACTCCCTGCAGTACCCTGCGGAGCTACCAAATAGTTCTCCCTGCATGTTTTTGTGCTGCTGTCCTCTGCTGGTGTCTCTAAAGAACAGAAGGTAATTGTCAAGGGAGACTATTGCCAAGCAAGTCCTGTGTTGGAGAATGGCTTTCTAGTAGTATTGTTATTATTTTGTCCTCTTGGTAAGTAGAAAAAAATAATGTTGTGTAGAGCTTGTTGCCCTGACAATTAAATTTCATTTAAACGTTTTTGTAATTTGTAAAATGAGTACTGTGATTTTGTTTCCTTCGTTAAGAGTCATGGATTTGATGATTTCTTAACTTTTTTTCAGAAAGTTGTATTGAAATAAGTGCCCTGAGGAGATCTTTCATTATGCTGGTATTTTGCATCCTTGCATCCACTCACACAGTAAAGTTCTCTGGAGAAGGGACAGTAGCCTCAGAAGTGAATGGACCAGCATTTTGTACAAAAGTACTATTGTACAAAAGTGGATCTCCTCTTTCATTTATATATCCCACAGTTGAGGGGCTGGTGAATGGCTTGCCTGGGATGACTACTCACATTTAGCATTTATTATCTGTATCTTGCTACCAGTAAAAGAGCAGAGGAGCAGAGAAGCAATGGAGCAAAGCCCTGCATGGCTGCTATCACAACCAGTAGTCTGTGAAACTGAAGCTAAGCTTGGCCCAGTTCTACAAAATGCTGGTGTCTCACTGATGGGAAAACCCTCTCCACCTCACTCCTTATTCTGGCTTTTTGAGTGTTGAAATATGCAGAGTGTAAGATTTATCCCTGTGGTTTTAAAATGTTTTGTTTATCTTCTCCTTCTTAGAAAATTATTCTAGGGAAGAAGTCCGCTATCCTGTGTGTGTGTCTGCACATCCAGAGGAACAAGGAGCAGAGGGGGAGGCAACAAAACAGGTGAGAAATACCTCAAGAGTACCTTTAAAATATTTATCCATCTCCTGGGAGAGGGAGCAAAAATTCATAACACTAAGCAGGTGGAACAGCCAAGATAGAGGGACAGGCCTTGGAACAATTCCTGTTTTCCAAAGAAGACCGAGCCTTCTTTGTAAGGACCTGGATGTCAGCAACCTTTTAAGCAAGGCATGAACAAGCAGTTGAGTGAAGAAATCAATCATAATGATAATGGAGACTGGAACATTAAAGTTCTGGCCAGGATACTCCTAGACAGGTGTGAAGGGACTAGCAGAACCTCCTACCTCACTGGAATTTCACAAGGACACTGAGAGGAAATGGTGGGGTGCAGGAACATTTACAAATTTGTGTTTCTGGATCCTTTCTCCCATGTTAAAGTCATATCCTGACCTAAGAGAGAGGAGGAGGGGTTCAGGGAGACAATGCAGATTTCTCTCCTCTGTAGCTAAATTGTATCCTTAGGCTTTTCCTTTCTTGTTTCTTGGCCTTTACAATTTTCTTTTGTGCTTAGATAATGATGGACCAGCAATCTGTATGTAGTGTATTTCTCTTTTGAATGCTTAGCTCTGCTTTCCTACCTGTTTTGGTTGATTTTTTTATTTGTGGGGTTTTTTTTTGTTTGTTTGTTTTTTGTTTGGTTTTTCTTTGTTTCTGCAGCATGCGAAGATATATAAGATGAAAAATAACCCCCATGGTTACTGTTTAATTCTTAACAACCACATTTTTAAAAATCCACATTACAATAGAGAGGGAACATTGCAAGATGGAGGTAAGTACTTTTTAAATCAAATTACTGGTTTGGGTTTTTTTCTCTGATAATTCTCAAAAACAATTATCTAATCTGTGCTGTGAAGAAGAATCATGTCCATGGTACTCCTTGGCCTCCAGAAACTGGAGTGACAGTCATTGTGCCAATTGGAAATATGTCACTTCCAACATTTAGCTGATGGCTTAAAGAAGGATCTACTTTTTGTTCTAGGAAAAAGTCATTTTCTTAATTGGTTGTATGTACAACTAGAGAAAAAGTGATCATTATTACACATTTCCAATTTTTGATTGTTTTCAGTTCTTACCTATCATGGAAAAATATTTTAAGTCCTCAAATTTTCTTCAATGCTCAAATAAATGCTCTGTAACTTTCCTTAAAGCCTATATTTCTGCAATCACATTTAAGATAAACAAAAGTAAAAAAGTAAAGTCAGATTCCTGAAAGGACATGTCACAGATATTTTAACTCCATTTGGCCTGTTTATAAGCTGCTTTCTTACTAGCTAGTTCCTCTCTGTCCACACAAAAATTGGGCCACCACTTCTCACCACTGAGAAGCCTTCATAGCATTTGTGAGCAGGTTACTCTGATTCCCTTCTTGCTGCATCTACCATCCCATCAGAATGAGGGACCTACTTCATTTAAGAGTGGCAGAATTTGTCATTCTAAAGAGGTGGCACTTTAACTTGCCAAGTGCTGTACTTAGGCATCCGAGACTACTATGCAATGCATAGTCAAAGCTTGCTTTAACACAGTAAACTTCACTAATTCATACCAATACAACACAGAATCTGAAACCTGTTTTTGTTTTAGACAGCATGATACTTAACCCTGTTGTGTTAAAAAAAAATAATAAAATTAGGCAAATTAGGCATTTGGGTTTTTCTAATAGGACCTGGCAGGCTAAGAGCCAGTCAGGTGATTTTACTGGTAGGATCTGAACACTTCTGCTAGTATCTGATCTACTACACAGACACTGATGTTTCAGCATCTTCCTTGTCACTGTTTATGTTTAACAAATTCCTTCTGATTTTTTTCCCCAGAGGCTGTGAAGAGGGTCTTTAAGTGGCTTCAGTTTGAGACATCTGAGTACATGGATCTAGAAGGAAAAAAAATATATGAGACCGTTAAAGAATACAGCAAGAAAGATCATAGAAATATGGACTGTTTTGTTTGCTTCATTTTCTCCCATGGTGAAAAATACAAAATAAAAGGTGTTGATGATGAGTGCGTAAACATTGACGATTTAGTCTCCTGCTTCACTGGAACTAATTGTCCTTCTCTTGCTGGCAAACCCAAGGTGTTTATCATCCAGGCTTGCCAAGGCTCTGAACATCATCCGGCTGTTGCAGTAGAATCAGACTCTTCTGGACAGCTTGAGGTGGATGCTAGTCCTTTGACTTCCATTCCTGATAAGGCTGATATTCTGATTGGCATGGCTACAGTGGAGGACTGCTTGGCCTACCGCAGTTGTAAGACTGGCAGTGTTTACATTCAGTCCCTCTGTGAGAAGATGGAGTTGCTTTGCCCACTGTAAGTACTATTTCTAATTATTGTACATTTAGAGTTTTGCAGATGTGCATACTTAAGCATGCTGTGCTGAAACACAGTGGTTTGCATTTGTGCAATTAATGCTTTTCCCATTCAGGACAGTGGAGAACAGTATTTATTTTGAAATTGGGCACTGTTAGTCCTCTACAGATAAGCCAAAGTATAAGTGACTTCCCCTGGTTTTCTTGTGCCAAAACTATGTTGTAATTCTGCAATGTTACACACAAACAAGCGTGTGTGTGTTTTTTAACATTTTTGACTGATAAATTTTTTTTTCTTCCGGTGACACCTGATTAGGGGTGAAATTGCTGAGTGATTACAAAGGCAAAACCCCCCAGGTGTTGTGCAGGCATATTGTTGCCTCCCACCTATCCCCCTCATAAACTTCATTTAGAAAATATGGCGTCCAGAAGAAGAGGTGGAGAATGTATAGGTTTGTTTCATCTTGGCGACCTCTTCTGGCTGTGACCAGAGCAATGTTACATGGAGGTTGCTTTTGTTTCCTCCAAACGCACTGAATTCTGTGGTTATTCAATGGAATGTGCAATTTCAGTGGCAATAGGGTGAGGAAGACACCAGCATTCCCTGGGATACCACTTTATTGGGGCAAACACACATCACCTTCTTGGCCGAGCTGCGAGTACCATGTGTTTCAATGTAATGTCTCTTCATTTTTGTTCAAGGCGCTTTGATCTCGCATCCATCCTGACAGAAGTGAACAATGCAGTGGCAAGAAAAGAATTAGGAGGATCTAAGCAGATGCCAAAGATAACATCAACACTACTGAAGCAACTGATCTTTGAAGTTCCACAATGAAAAGCAGACAAGCAAGAATACATGCAGTTAGGAATGACATCTGGGCTTTGACAGGGAAGAGAATTTACATGTGAAACTGTCTGGAGTAGCCCCAGCCCTTTAAGGAGGCATAGGACCTAAATTTTCCAACTTCCATATTGAATCAGTCTTCCAACACCTGGCTCTGTAGCAGTCGGGTAAGGCTGTAGGAAACTACAGATCGTCAGGCTTTTTATCTTGCAGAAGCAGTGGAATATGTTCAGTCTGGGTTTCAAGTGTGAAAGGACTTTCAAGTAGTACTGTAAAAGTTATTGGAAATGTCAATGAAGTCCCATTTGTGTCTGAGTTAAGTCCCTAAAATCTGCAAAAACAGAACAAATTCAGAAAGCCAGATGCATTCCCAAGCAGCTGGGTAACTGCCTTACCCAGAGGTGAATCATTGTCTGTCTTTGGAAGCTATAAATGTTTGTGGAAAATAACATCCTACTCCAGAAGGACCAAAACCCCGTTATTATGTTAGTTTGGTTCTTTTCTTCTAAATATTTTGTTTGTTTTATGTCAATCATTTACTTGAATAACCAGCCCATCTGTGTAACTTTTTTAATATTAAAGGTTCTCACTTTGCTATTTCTCAGAGTTCTCAGGGCACAGTGTGTCTTGAATGACTGTGGAATACTGGAAGGAAACTCTGTAATCGTGTTTCTGTTAGAATAAATTTTTTTGGTTTTTATATCACCTCAGTTTGTGGTGTGTTCCTCTCTTGGATGAGCTTTCTGAGGGACAGTCAGCATGACAAACACTTTTACCGGACAGAAGTAATTTTGCTCTTGTTGGAGTGTTTGTTGGCAGCCATCCTGAGGGGCAGCAGCTGGAGAGATGGTAGGAAAGAATAAGTTCAGGACTGTCATGATAATGGCAGCTGATGCCAGTAGAGCCATTCAGTAACTGCTTCCTCTGTGAGAAACTTGCTGGAAGGTGGCAGCTGCTGCAGAAGTGAAGTTGCACATCTGCAGCATTTCTGTTTCTCATATTTCCATATCAGAGTTCAATACACTCACACCAAGTTATTTCAGCTATTTTACATGAGAAGGAATTGGATATCAAATGTAATTATTTGGTATCTTTGGGGATACACAGAATTTTGATTTGGTAGGGTAAGACATCTACATAAGTATGCTATCTGTCATGACCCTGGACATTCCCAGTCATGGTGGAACATGGGTAGAAGCCAGCTCAAGCTCATTGTTCTTTTCAAAAATTAAATGTTTTATCAATTGTCCAGGTTTTATACTTCTATGTTGGGTTGGGGTGGGCCACATATCCACACCTTCCATGGTGGTCTGGCTTGCTCAGGAAGACATTATTCCTTGTTAATTTTCTTGGGGTACCTGATGATCCACAGGTGCAAATGTCTCCTCTAAAACTAAGGTCACTCTCCAATCCTGGTGTTGAGGTAAGTTGGACTTTCTTTATTACCTGTTTTTCCGTGAGAGGGTGTGGTTTTTTGTCCTTCTCCTCTGAGCTGTTTTCCACTGGAGGAGGGGGGCACGGGGCTATACAGAGGGTGCTGATCAGTCACTTTCTGTGATTAAAGTTGATTTGGTATTTTGTTCTGCCTATTAAATTCCAGCTGCAAACTCCATAGTTTACCATGATCACTTGTGGACGAAAACCTACTAGGAGGAAGAGAAAACACCATCAAAATCCTTTAAAGAATCACAGAACAGCCATACTGTGAATTTATATGTAGGTCATGCAGCAATCAGGGAAGGAGAAAAAACACTTCTTTGAGTTTTGCAGTTCTGAGCAAAGTGTGGCTGGTGGGTTTTTGCACGGATTTGTGTCCTACCCACAGAGCTTAATGGTAAGAAGGAAGTTGGTTCTGCAATTTCCTGACTTTTCTCTCTAGTATATGCTAGACAACAGTGAAGGACAATTACCTTCTCTCTGTGAAGGCCCTCAGCTTTGTTTTTTACTGTGTGTTTTCTTTCCTCCCAGCTCATGGCTGGGAGGCCAAATCCAGTCAAAAGCTTGGCACTTAATTCTGTTTTGTTTTCAGACAGCAGAAGCACTGCCACCAGAATGTGGAGCCAGAAGTCTGGTAGGAAAGAAAAGCTGGTGAGTTGGTGTCCTGCAGACTTAAACTGAGAGCAGGCAAGATCAGAGTGGTGCTATTTGAAAAGGAAAACACTTATAAGAGTTGGGGAGGACTGTTAGCTAAAGAAGAAATAATGCTGTCCAGGGGCATGAGTCCTTGCCCAGTCATTCACATATGCTACCTATTCTTTCAGTTTAACAGCAGTGTTGAGTGTTCAGCCTTTTTATTCTGACCCCTAAAAAACATGGGCACATTCTCTGAGAAATTATTCACATCTGCCTCTTTTCAACTAGAGATATTTCAAATGATGAACAGAGAATGGCATGTTTAATCTGCAATGACTTCTTTGCAATATGCTAAGAAATATAAGTGAGATTTTACAGAATTCATTAATTTCTGAGTGTTCTTTCTGTAAGTGTGCCTTTGCTTGTCACTCTGTTCTGTTACTGACAGCCACCAGGACTCCCCAGGCCACAAATGTGGCTGGCTCTTGTGGATGCCCACCATACATTCCTAGCTAGGTGGAATGTTATCCTGGACACGTCTCCTAATCTTGGCCATTCTATTAGTTTTATATTTGTAGCCACTTTGTGTTTAGGCCTGACTTGTCTAGGTACGTGAGTGCAAAGATGGATCCATGCATCCTTAGAACAAGATAGGAAGATCTTGTTCTAACATGTCTTGAGGAGAGGTCAGCTTATGGCCTGTTGAAAAGCACCTTGCTTTTTGGATTCCTTCCACCATTGACCCAATTTGCCATGCATATAGTAACCAAATATCTTGCATAGGATTTTGAACATTGATAAGGCACTTCTAGGATAACAATGTACAGATTTCTTCTCAATATATTGTTAAAGTGTTTTTTACTGGATTTTTGGGAAAGAAAGGTATGCTGGTTTCAAATTTAGCAAGAACATTGGTTCTTTATTGGACAGTACGGATGTGCTGAGGGTTGCTCTCTGGCTCAAAGCAAACATTAAGGTGTTAAGGTTCATTTTCAGAAGGATGAAATTCCAGTTGGTAAAATCTCTCCCCTCCTGTTGTGAAATACCATCTATCCATGGTGCTGCACCTGAAGGTGGAGGGGGTGCAGCATCCCAGGGCCCTTCACCACGCTGCAGTGACTGCTCCTGTTGTAGGACTGTCTTCAGCAGATGTGGGGCGGCTGGGAAGGGAGCCGTTTTCCATGGCTGGTGGCTGCCAGGGGCCGAACACCTGCAGGGAGCGTGCTACCTCTTCTGAGAGCAGCCCAGAAGGCTCGCAAGGAGGAAGGCGAATCAGTGATGTTATAAAAGCTTCTGTCTCCTTGTATTAAAATCGCAGTGGTTTGGCCTGGCAACCAGCGAGAGCCGACTCTCGGCAGGAAAAGCTCGGGCAGAGGGAGACCTTTGCATCCGCACTAGCCGGTTCGGTTTGCTCAAGAATGGGCTCAAGAACGGGCGGAATTGTGAACAGACACGACCCAAAACACGCTGCTCCCCAGAGGAACTGCGGGGTTTTTCCTTCCGGAAGTTTAAATAGCGGGAAGCGCCGCCCCGGGTCGCGCCCCGCCCTCCGAGCTGCGCGGCTGCGGCGCGGCCATGGAGCTGCCGCGGGGGCTGCTGCTGGCCGTCAGCGATGAGCTGGACCGGGCCGAGCTGGCGGCGCTCAAGTTCCTCAGCCGGGACCACCTCCCCCGGAGGAGGCTGGAGGCCGTGCGGAGCCCGTACGACTTGTTCGAAGCGCTGCAGGAGAACTGCTTGCTGGAGGCGGGGAACCTGGCCTTCCTCAGGGAGCTGCTCTACCACATCGGGCGGATCGACCTCCTGGTTGCCCACCTGGGCTCCAGCCGGGAGCAGGTGGAGAAGGAGCTGCGGGCGCCGGGCGGGGCGCGGGTGCCGCCCTTCAGGTGGGTGAGGCCGCCGGGCTGGGCTGGCCCGGCTGCCCGCCGCAGTCTGTCCGGGACAGCCAGCCGCCGCCTCCTCTCGACACCGGGCTGAAGGGTTTGACTTCAGGCGGTCCTGGGCCTTGTGTCCTCCCTCTAAAACGGGAAAAAAGGAGAATGTGTGCTGGAGGGGACAGTAGACAAGAGGAGCGGTGCGGTAGTACAGAGTTGTCCTTGAAACACGATGAAACAACGTCCTCCACTTCTCTTTCTAGATACTTGCTCTTTCAGCTGTTTGAAGATGTCACCGAAGATGAGCTGATGTCTTTCAAGTTACTTTTGGTCAACGAATTGCCAAAAAGCAAGCTAACCCGTGAGACTGTAAGTATCTATTTAATACTTTTTAAAAATTATTACTATAATCCGTAGAGGCAATTGGGTTGCTCATGGGTGAATGAGCTTCACTCTTCTTTATGTTGTCACTCTCATGATGAAAACACCACAAGAAAAGGGGTGCCCCTGGGTGCATATGGGACTTGTTTGTGCTGGTGTCGGGCACAGCTTTTGCAGCAGTGTCACAGCCAGCTGTGCCAGCAGTGCCAGGCCATAACATCCATGCAACACAGGGGACTCAGGGCACTCAGTGGCCTTAATCAATGAAAAACTGATGAACACATTCACTTATCTTGCCCAACAGACTTATTTTCTTTTTCTTCTTTCTCAGTCATTATCAAATACAGAAAGTGATCCACTGTGAGTATTATTTTATGACTTTTTTTTTAAATGCAGGAAATACAGATACAAGCAGCAGATTCTTCTCAAGGCTAAGTCAAATGAGTTGGAATTTACAAGTAGTCTTGCAGGAGATCCAGTGCTTTTATGCTGTCCCAGCCTGCAGTTCTGACTCCTTGGTACTTTGTTATGTCTAATAAAAGTTTTGAGGATTTTTCTTTTTTTCTTAGAAGGGAGACTGCAAGAGCTGTTCTAGTAAATTCTTGGGGTGACCACTATGCTTTGCCACTTACTGATGAGTTTCTGTCTGTTGGGTCCCCTTTTGCATCAGAGCAAGCTCTACACATCACATGAAGGTGTAGAAATTGCTCTGAAGCAAAAGGGCCCTGAGGGACAGAAAAACCTTTTTGCCAGTGCTTAAGTGATTCTGCTGTTTCATCTGAGTGCACAATAGCCACTGAAAGATGAATGAAAGCAATAATTAAAAAATACTGCTACATATTCCTGTATGACCACTGTTAAATGCCCTGGGTTAGATCTTAAGTATATCATGGCACCTCTGAGCTACAGAAAGGAAATTAGTATGTTTTGAGAAGATGTTGGTACTTAACAGTACTTGTAGGTTTTGTTGAACTAGGATTAACTGGCTCAGCTGAGGTCTCACTTGAGCTCCCAGTTAGCTGGATTGACTCTGTGGATCACATGTGCTCTCACTACATTAAAAGCTTTAGGTGCACATGCTGCAGCTTCACTCCCAGTGGCAGCATGGAGGTGCCCTAAGAGCAAACTCCCTTTCTGATTACCCAGACAATGCTTGACATTCTCACTGAGATGGAGAAGAAGGGCCTTCTGGGGAAAGACAACCTAAGTATGCTGAAGAGTCTCTGTGAAAAAATTAACATCAGCCTGTGGAACAGAATTGAAGATGGATTAAAGCTGTTCGGTAAAACAGAACAAAACAGCCTCTTCCCCTTAGTTGTTCTTGAAGTGATGCAGAGGTATTGTACAGGACTGATCATGAATGCTTTGCAGGCCAAGAAGAGGTGCTCATCACAGAAGAACAGAGGGGCAGCACAGGATGCCCTGGGGGACATCTGGTGTCATCTGTAGCACCTGGTCCTCCTGGCAGTTTTAATGACTCTTCCCAGGTAAGTTAGTTTGTTTCTTAGAAACATCATCATTTGGCCTTAGAAGAACTCGCCCCTCTATGAAGTGAAAAGTTGTTCTAAGATCAAATGTTAGAAGCACTGAATAGGAAAAGAAAAATGCACAACTCTGCATCCTTTATTCTGAAGCTGTGTCGCAGGCACAACTGCTGCAGTGTTGTACTTCAGAAACATCTGCAAGAGTAGCAAGATAAGACTTGTTTATGATAGCAGGAATTAGGCAGTTGGCAGCTGGCTTGGCACTGAGATACGAGCAAACAGAGCACCTTGTGTGGGCTGAGCCTGACTTTGGTTGTCCAGCAGGGTGCTGTCCTGCACAGACTGCCAAAGGCAGTGGGGCAGGGCACTGCCAGGCCCTGGGAGCAAAGCTGTTGAGAGAGGGCTGCCTGGAGAGGAGGCCAGCTGGCTCTGTACCCGGCTCTGCCACTCACAGCAGCTAAGGAGCACCTGGAGGAGAGCACAGGAGTTTCAGCAGGAGTCTTTCTTTTCAGCTGCTTGAAGCTTACAAAATGACCAGTCGACCCTGTGGAGTATGCCTGATCCTGAATAATCATAATTTTGCGAAAGCTAGGGAAGGAGTGCTGGAACACAAACACATGAAGGATCGGAATGGGACAGATGTGGATGCAGGTACAGTGAACATTAAAGATGAGTTTGTGAATCTTTAAAAATAGAGATCTTGTTTCTCTTTTAAAGGTCTGAATTTCAGTCTTCCCTTTCTAGGATTACATTTGTTGTAGTGGCTCAGTTAGCTCCATTGACTGTGTTGACAAGTCCTAATCAACTCATCGAGTTTTTAGTGCCTGACACTGAAAAATTCACTTGCATTTTGCAGTTTTAGTGAGGTGACTGAAATCTTAATCAGCACCCTGAGCCTGGACTTTACAAGCTAGGCTAGCTTTGCATCAGCCGTACACATACTAATTCTAAAATATGCAGAAGTATGCAAGAAAACCTTTTAATGACAGTTAAGGGAATGCAGTAGAGATATGATTAGTGATTAGACTACTAGAGTCGTTTCAGACCAGGAACATAGCTATGTGTGGCAGCTCTCTGGCATTTTCCTGGGAAAGGCTGTGAGAAAATCAGAGAAAATAATGAGAAACAACTCTTATCTCCACTTTTGGCACCTGCTGTTGTGAGCCTGTGGAATGTGTCATGGGGATTTGTTTACCAAAGGGTGATTTCTTAATTGGACACTAGATGGTTTGGATAGATTGACCAATTGGGTCAAAGCTGTATTGGATTGGCTGTAAGGGTTACTGAGTTTCTTACTAAGTATAGTATAATGTAGTATAGGATGATATAATAAAGCAATTGATCAGCCTTCTACAATCATGGAGTCAGTGCTAATTATTACCCAGCTGGGGGCCTGCAGTGACAGCTATGTGGATGTGGTCATGTTGCAGAGTCCAACTTTCATACAATGAAATGTCTCAAATTTTCATTCTCTTTGCTTTCTAGCGGCTCTGAGGAATGTCTTTAGCAAGCTTCATTTTAGAGTAGAAGAATATAGAGACCTCACTGCAGAAGAAATCCGTGAGACTGTGAACATCTTCCAGAGTGCAGACCACGAGGACAAAGACTGTTTTGTTTGCTGTATCCTGTCCCATGGGAAAAAAGGCATTATATATGGTGTTGATGGGCAGGAAGTACCTATCAGGGAACTGACCACTTCCTTCACTGCACAGAATTGCAGTTCACTTGCTGGAAAACCAAAAGTTTTTTTTATTCAGGCCTGCCAAGGTGATGCTTTCCATAAAGGTGTGGCCATCGAAACAGATTCTGTAGAGGAAGATTCTTCTCTAGAGCGAGATGCGAGGTTTCAGCTCGACTGCATCCCTGCAGAGGCAGACTTCCTCCTGGGCATGGCCACCCTGCAGGATTACGTCTCCTACAGAAGTCCCAAGGAGGGAACCTGGTACATACAGGCACTGTGCCAGCACTTGGAGTACAGCTGTCCTCGGTACATATGTTTCCATAAGCTTATTTTTGGCAACACCTGAATTTTCCTTCTGGATGACAGAAATTTGATTTAGACGCAGAGGTAGATGATATGCAGGGGGAATACTTGCTCAGAGTTGAAACAATGGTGTAAGACAGAGCAGCACCGTGCAAACTGTTCAAAGCAACTTAAGGAAGTGTTCTGAAGCCTATTAAAAACAGGAGCCATTAGCACTGGTGACATCAAGATAGCAAGAATGTTATTTTGCTGATGTTAACTGCCTAACACAAACTGTACTTGTGTCTTTGCAGAGGGGAAGATGTTCTCACCATTCTGACAGCAGTAAATCAAGAAGTGAGCAAAAAAACTTGTGAGCGGGATGCAAAGAAGCAGATGCCGCAACCCAGTTTCACGCTGAGGAAGAGGCTCATCTTTCCTGTCAACTAAGTGGGAGAGAACTGCATGGCAGAGAGAGCTGCTGCAGCCTGGAATTGCCTGGTTTCAGCTCAGAATTCAGTCAAACACAAGAGACTTTCAGTGTCTGCTCTTAGCACAAGGGCAGATATTTTTGACTGAAAATAAATTGAAGAGAACAAGCCTTAAGAAATTTGTTACTAACACATTAATTTGTATTAACACTTTATACTTGAGAGCATCTCTGAGCTGGTCTCTGATTCATCTCTGATTTATTTAGCTGATCTCAGTGGTTTGCTGGCTAAAATACACTTGGCGTCCACTTATCATCTGTACCACATTGCTATTGCTTTCATAAGGTATCTTTACAAGGCAACTTTTAGAAGACAACTATTGTAAAGCTTTGTGTACTCTTTGCCTAACCTTTGCAAAATAAAGAGAGGAGTGCTCTAAATTTTATAGGATATCATCAGCTCACATCAGTGTGTTTTGTTGCTTGTCCCCATGACTTAGAGTCATTCATTCTTAGTGGCTTGGTACACTTCAAGATCAAGTTAAGCATTTGTAATCTGGTATCCTCAGCAGGATGTGTCTGTGACCTGGATTTCAGCGTATCCTCTACATAGAGTAGTCTCAGCAGCAAAAATCAGTTGCTCTGGTACAGCTTCATGGTTGAAGATGTCCAGTTACCCTGTGTTCACTTACCTTGCTGAGCTTTGAGTCTTAGAACTAAGCACAGAAAAAGTCATTAGGTAAGTACCCAGCTCCTTAAAACTTTATATTGCTTCCCGTGGTGAGCATGCACACAGAACTCCCATTTGTCACAAATCTATAGGGCTCACATAACATCAGCTACTGAGATGAAAAAACAACCGTGGTGGTCTTAGCCAATAGTGCAGTGCTAACACTAATGCTAGAGGAATACACCAGCTGCTGTAAAAGAGGGGAGGAAAAAACTCCAAAGCACTACCCATGCATAAAACCCCCCCAAGGTACCAAAAAATATTAACAGATTCACTTAAAGTGAGGCTCAACACTTAAATACTAGTGGTATCAATTTATTGGCTTCTAAAGCCACCTTTTCTGCAGACACCAGCTCACTTCCCTAAGCTTGTGTACAGTATAATAATCACTATAAATTTTAGCCACAAAAAAGGCCTGATTTTAGGTTTGTGATAGAACACTGTAGTAGAGAAGATGACATCTGGAACAAACCACAGAAGATCAGCAATATACTGAAAAATGGCATGTTATACATGTTTATTATCAAATTTACATTCCACTATGAAACAACAGTAAGTGCAAAAAGCAGATGGAAAAAAATACCATGAAAATCCCAGACTGTTCAAACACTGTGTGTAATCCCCTCATGTAACAGCCAAATGAAACCCAAATGCAATTACTTTCCTTCCCTCTCTGTTGCTATTCAACTGCAGTAGATGTTTAACTTTGATCACAGGTATTTTGAGCATGCAGGTATCACTGAGTTTATCAAAAACTAACAGTGAAACTAGAAATCTTTACGTTTGTGCTTTAAGACAGTCAGAATACAGTAAGTACAAGAATTCCCTTCTGTCTCTTGTAACTTGCACAGCCATGGATAAGTGCTTTCTAGCATTCATGTTTGACTCAAACCTGCAAGATAACAGAACCCTGCCAAAATGTAATTCTCCATTCCTTCTAGGTCTCCTTCTTCCTTCTAGGTGCAGGATGTCAGCCATGCAAGCTTGTCACCTCCCTTATGGGAGACAACAAAAGCCAAATCATTCCTAGAATCATGGTAACTTGTAAAATGTTCTCAGAAACACATATTATTAAAAAAGAGTTTCTCTTCTAGGTTTTGGTACAAAATGGTAAACTTGGAAGAAGTATCAATTTTCCCTGTTATTGCAAGCCAGGCATGTATATCCAAACTATGCATGACTATCCAAAGGCATAAATGCATGACAGAATTTGAACACTGCACCACAGCATCAACCAACTGGGTAAACACACACAAACACCATGGTATAGAGGTTCTTCCATTTTCTTTTTGCCTTATGTAAAGTATCTGATGATACACCTCAGCTACAGAACAAACCAACCTCTCAACATGCACAGCATTGTTTGAACTGAGCCAGTTTGTATTGCTGGGCTATGGAATAGGGAAGTGTCTCTAAGAGAAATATGCATTTCATTTATATGCTTGTAGATTAGTTTTACCTGAACCATGGTCTGCCAAAGGAATTCTGCCTTAGCTGATTTTCTACTCTGCTGATCCAGTGGCCGGAGTTATCTTATGAAGCCAGTTAGAACCATAGTGTAGAACCTTCAAAAATGTGTCTGTAACTCAGGTATTCCTACAATAAACACATAAAATGGACGGACTTTTGACGTGCTACACTTCTCTGTTGGTATCAAACTGTCTAAGCTTTTGCTAACTCGTTTCCCTGGAAGTTACACAGCAGACATACCCATCCCAGGCCACTGAGACCAACATGGCAGTGCCTCCTTTCACTCTTACCATATGTAGCTAGGCAAGACACCATGCACAGCTAAGTACATACAAACATAAATACTTACATGAAAAAATTAAATATTTTTTCATTTAAAAAACAAAATTAACCCGTATATAGTCTTTTAAATAAAATTCACCTTTTGTAAGTGTAAGATTTTGCTTAGAGAGCAAAAGGCAACTCCAGGAGTTCCAGAATATTTCTGTGCGCTGCTGACAGACAAGCTTCTGCTAAGAATCCCTGTGCAAGTTTGAAGTCATTACTCCTTTTCCTTTTACAAAACAAAAATATCAGAGAGTCATCTCAAGATCTACAGAACTGTAAAATCAGAAAGGCCACATTACAAATTTCCTATAAACAAGGATAAGAAGCTTTCTTTTTCTGCCCTACTCCATTCACCCCTGCAGAAACGAGGGTGCTGATTATGGATGATGTGCCTAACAGCAAATGCAAATCAGTGTGATTGCACTGATGCTTTACACCACACTCCCAGACAGCAAGCTGCCAGCTATACCCCACTTACATACTAACAGGCAAGGTAAACTTAACTGCTTAATCTAATTGTATGGAAACAAATAATTTTATAATGTTGATAGGTACAGTGAAAATTTATATAAAGACTAAGAAGCTGTTTCTATTCAGGTCACTAGCAAAGACAACCTTTTCTTAAGCTACACAAAACATCTGTTGTAGATTGTTCATTTATGGTTAGAACCTTGGACAGGAAGTGATCAAAAAAGCAGCATGGGCAGTAATATTTTTGTAATTAACACTCAGAAACCAGATTTCTAAAATGAAGTTCTTTTTTGAGTTGGAAAGTCTGCCTCAGCTAGGTTCAGAACAACACTCCCTCACTGATCACTGGATTTCAATATTCATTAAAATGCTACAAAGAACACCAGCTTTTTTCTTCCTGTTTCTATATAGAGACTTGCAAATTTTGCTTTTAATGAAATCTTTTAAACAAAATCCTGCTTAAAATGAGAAATAATTGAATGAAAGGCATAAAGTTTACTGGAGAACTCTCAAATATACAGACTGTGTACTTGGCAAGACAAGAGGCAGTTTTCTGAACTTCCAACAATTTTCTTGAAGTAAATGCTCTCCATTTAAGTCTTTAAAAAGAAGCCCTGAATCAAGCACCTAGGGTTTATTTCCTTTTGCAATGCTGAAATGTGCCTGAGATATTTGTGTGAATGTGCGTGCACAAAACTATCCTCATTTAAATAAATGGAAACTACACTTTAGAAAGATTTCTTAGCTGGATGTTTTCACCCCAATACACACTTTGCTGGTTCTTAATTCTTATTCATTGCACATTTCTCTGTGTGCTTTGTTCACAAGCTCTGGAAAGAAATTAACTTACACCTCACTAACACAATTGCACTCTTTCAAAATATAAATCCTGTGTTTGTAAACTGAAGTATTACTTTCTTACACAGAGCTAAAGATTCTCTCCCCTGCTTCTGAAAGTGAGGAGGAGTTCAAAAGAGCAGAGTTTCTGAAATGGAAAATAAAAGAATGAAAAAAAATCCAAGTTTTCATATTCATTTCCTACATAGAGGAACTTGGTCTGATAAGGCTGGTCAGACTGATTGTTATTTTAATATTATATTTATATGATGTAGCCTGACTGCAAACAATTAGTAAATACTATGGATTATGGTGGAAAAATAATATCTACACATACAGGTTAAAGGGTTAAAACACTGAAAATGTCTACAGCAGTCTTCACTTCTAAGTTAAGACAAGATGCTGAAGGGGGTGTTGAAATAAAGCTTTGGTTTTACCTTTCTATCTCCCACAAAAACATTCTTCCTCCAACCCAAGCAATGTTCCTTTGCTCCTTGGTCCCAGCACTTGTCTCTCCCACATTTTAACATGCACATGCCTTCTCCAACACTTCTGTAACACACCTAACAATGCCTGTACTGGATGTTCATCCCTCAAATTATTTACTGTGCTCTAAGTCAAACACCTTTCAGGCCAGTTAGTCTTCCTTTAGTATATCCATTTTTGATGACTGTGTGCAAACAGGAGCTCCCAGTGCTCCAATTATGGCTGGAAGACTCTGGTTTCTTCTGAGTCCTGCCATTAAATTGCTACCTGCATTTAAAAACCCAGCTGAGTCCTGCCTCTGCAAGCCAACCTCTGGCCCCTGATTCTTGCCATGGTCCTGTGTTTCAGGGGGCTTGATCACCCTGGCAATGCCCAGCCTCTTCAGTCTGTCCACGAGGCTCATCTTCAGCTGGCCTACGTCTGGGATGTTACAGGAAGGCTTTGGGCCATACATTTCCTGCAAAAACGTCTCTGCTGGTCGAGAAGCCAGGAAATTCTCCGAGTGATGCACTCGAGGCTCAAATGGTGGAGGGGAAGGACAAGGGGAACGTGAAGGAGAATTTGGTGGAGTAGAAGGAATGAGAAGAGTTTGAGGGGGTTGCAGCAAAGGCAGTTTTTCTAACATGGGGCTGTCATAAACCTTGGCAGAGATGCCTCGTTCTTGCAAAAGTTTAGCCAGGCTGCTTGTGCTGCTGAAAGTAGTAGTTGAGTCTCTTCTGTTGGTAAGAAATTCTCCAATACTTAGTCTGTAAGGACTGGCTGGAGTGCTCACTACTGGGTTTCCAGTACTGCTGCCAGTATTCCCCAGTGAAAAAGGAGCACCCATGGAACTGAAAGAAAATAAAAATTAAACAGAGAATACACACACATTAGACATTTTTATACCTGCTCTTCATTTGCATTTTATTATACAGAAGACTCAAGAAAAACCTTAACTATTGCTATCAGTTGTGACAACTTCAGTACTCAAAATTACTGTACTGCAAAGTACCAATGAATTTACCTTCTGTGATCACCTGTACTCTATTAGATAGAATATTAACACAGTTGTCCAGTTAATTAAAAAAAATATAACTGAATCAGAATATAAATCATCGTGGAATCTTTTTTCCACAATAGCTGTATGATAC